GGTCTCCCTGTAGCTCCAGCTGGCCTGGAACTCTCTATGTAGAGCAGGCTGGCCTTGAACTCACAGAGATCCGCCTGTGTCTGCCTCCCGAGTGCTGGGACTAAAGGCGAGCACCACCACACCCGGCTAGTTTATGGAATTGTATCTGGCTTCTTTTCATTTAGCATTTTCAAGACTTATCCTCATTGTAGTCTATGTCATTCCTCTTAAAGGCTAGATAATAATTGTGTTGTAATGACCACATTTTATTCTTTATTCTTTTTTAAAAAAATTTATTTATTTTATGTGTATGCATGTATTGCCAGCATGTAGGTAAGTGTACCCGTGTTGTGCAATGCCCACAGAGGTCAGAAGAGGCTGTTGGATCCCCTGGGACTGGAGTTACAGACAGTTGTTAGCTGCCATGTGGGTGCTGGGATTCGAACCCAGGTCTTCTGCAAGACAACCAGTGTTCTTAACCGCTGAGCCATCTCTCCAGCCCCCACATTTTATTCTTTAATTAGCTGATGGATACCTGAAATTTTCATTTCTGGCTATTGTTAGTAATGCTATTGAGGATATTCCTGCAGGATGGGCATACACAGGGTTTTTATCGTTCTTTGGAGTACACTACAAGTAGTGTTGTAGGTCATTTTACCTGCTGGAGGAGCTGCCAATTGTGCTACTGTAGCTAGATCACCAGATTCCCCTCCAGCAGTATGAGGGCTTCTGTGGCCCTCTTTTTATCTCTTACCTTCCTCTTGTCCAAAAGTCTTTAAAAATACAGATGGGTAGTTCTGGGGAAGGCAGGGCACTTTCACTTGCTAGGGCTGTGGTCATGTTTCTGACTGACTACCAATAGACTGGGGCCAGGCCCTCTTATGTCTCTCCCACTCTGTGTGTTTGTCTAGCACTGAGTAGTGTCTGCAGTGAGCCTTGTAGGGATCACTCCACTATACAGGTAAGCGTGTGTAGGTTACACCTAGCCCTTCCCTTCTCCTGAGGAAGACTGCTGTTTGTTTCTACACTGTCCAGACCAGAGCTGTCTGTGGATATACTTCTCTGTAGCTCCAGCTTGTGTCTCAGTGTCTTGTGTCTTGTGTCTCTTCATTCATAAGATCCTGGGGAGGGCCAAAGAGCTGTTGTCTCGTTGTGCAAAGGAGATCTGGCTCTCTGAGGAGCATGGCCTGCCCAGTCTAAGCAGGGGAGGGCCTGGTATACTGCCTGGAACAGAAGCCTACCCTGTTGACTCCTACCTTGTACCTTGATTCATGGTCAAATGTTTTCCTCAGCCACCTCATACAGAATATTTCTTCTTTTGTTTTTCTTTTCCTACTTAGGAAACTGATCTTTCTATATTTGATCTCATTGGGTTAGAAAATAAAATCACTCGCCATGAGGCAGAATTGCTGTGTAAGAAAAAAGTGACTCGGAAACTCATGGAGGAAGTCTTTACTTTACCGCTTCCATCAGCTCGGCCAGCAGCAGTGAAGCTGAAGGCCAGCAGGTATGTGGACAAAGTTAGGAGTTGCATGTAGCTCGTCTGGCCTGTTAACCTGCTCCACAGGCTTCCTGCTGGTTTGGAGTCAGGTGCCTTGGCCATAAGGCCAGCTGACTCTGAGCTGTCAGTGATGATAATAAAAGCTGTGCTTTTGGAGAATGTCCTGAATGTCTTTAGTTTTGGTGAGCACAGCCATGTGGAGATACTCACCAAGCAGCAAATGTGGCTGGTTACCATCCTGAGAATCATTTTTCTTGGTTAACTTTAATGAAGGAAGCTTTAGGATTTAGGAGGATGTTAGGGCTGAGCAGTCTGCTATCTGGCATGATCAGAACAGACATCTGACTGGGTAGAGTGCAGTGTGTGCTCGTGGGCATGAACATGGGCTGATATAGGGGTCCACTCAACAACAATGAAGTTTTTGTTCTTTCAAGTGACAACACAGTGATGTAAAATGATGATTTGGTGGGGTGAGAGAGCTCATGAGGCTAGAAGAGATAGACAGTTGATAAAGTCAAAGTGTAAATGATTCAGAACAGACTAAACCCAGTGATGAGAAATAAGCAAAATCCTGTGCTTGTGTGAAGGAGGTGTGGGGTGGGGGATAGGTACTTTTTAGATATAAAGGGGCCAATTGTACAGATTGGAAGCCCATCCTCAAACCTCTTGCAGACCTGGTTTGCTTGGGAACTGTGACCTGTTGGCCCTTCTTGGTAGCCACAGTGGCAACAGGCTTTAGCTTAGCCTAAGACTCACGAATCCATTTCTACTCGGAGAGCCAGTAACCCTGTGACCACAGACAGGGCCACCCACTTGTACTTATCTGAGCTTTGTTAAAGGTTTCAATGGCTGGCTCCGTTTGTCTTCACATTTTCTAGGTCAGAGAGCTCACACCATCTTGATCATATTCAGACCAGCTGCCTGGTCACTTTGCACACCTTCCCAGGTCTTGCCATTTCTGTCCATTTCTGAACTGCCTTGGTGTCACATTGTGCTGATAGAGGATTTCCTTTCACTTTGCTCTTAGTCTAACCTATAGTTATAACATGGCTGTTATGTTCCAGAGGTGTTTTCTCATAACATAATTTGATGCATACCTAATAATTGTTATCCATGTATTACTGCACGTGGGGAGATATACCATCTTTGAGTATAGAGTTTGTCAACAGCTCTCCTAGGCTTGGGGCAGGATTCTTACCAACAGTATTTAGAGTCACCCTGTTCCTGCCCCATGCCTCTTTAACCTGCCTATCTGAATTGGGGACACCAGCTGGCCTTAAAGGGGCAGTCTTCTAGAGCCCATGTTCTTTGCAGTGTGGTGATTCTGTATGTCTTCTGCTTGGGCCAATGGTCATCTAGGTTGTTTCAGCCTGTACAGTATGGCCAGAAGCCTGAGGGTCGCACTGTGGCATTCCCCAGCACACACCCGCCCCGGATGGCGACTTCCAACACAGCCACAGCTACTCCACAGGGCCAGGTTCGAGGACGGCCACCAATTGCCACATTCTCTGCCAACCCAGATGCAAAAGGTATCTCACATAAACATTTCTCTGTTGTAGAATGCCGTGGGGAGATGCTCCTGGCACTATGTTTCTTCCCCACTGAATGCTGTAGCCATTGCTGAGGGTATGAAACCGCCGAATGACCTGCATAGGTGCCACCTGCAGATCCTGATGAACTGAAGACAGGGTGGTTTTTTCTTTCCTTCCCATTTTTCTTTTTTTGAGACAGGATATGTAGCCTGAAACTTATAATCCTCCTGCCTCCACTCCCCTGAATGGTGGGATTTGTAGACATATAGCACTATGCCTGACTATAGACTTTGCTCCTATGCTGGGTTTTTCCTACAGAAGAAAGTTTCCTCTTAGCTAAGCATGTAACAGGACCTCTGCAAAATGTTTTCCTTGAAGTATGTCATAGTTGTTCAGGAAAGTTCTTCCTGCTGCATTTGTTGTCATTGCTTTAGCTTCACCTGTGGTTGCTTTGAAGGGTAGGTAAATAGGCAGGAAAGGTCCTAGAAGTGACCCTTTAGCCTCAGCTGAGAATAGCAGCATGGGGTTTTTGTACTGATAAGAGCAAGTGCATCTGTGTTTACAGAGCGCTTTCTAACTGTTGGCAGCATTTGACAGGCTGACTTCTAGTCCAAGATGTATGCCCTATGTGTTGTCAGCTCATAGGAAGCCTCACAAATTGGCAGCCGGCAGAACCTTAAGTTTTTCTCACCATAAGGATTACACCAGCCCCTCCATGTTTGTTTCCTATGAGCGGGCTTCTCATTTGAGAGACTGAAGTAATGTTTATGTAATTTCTTTTAACATTCGGGTGTAAAATACTGCATGTTATAAAGAACCTCTAACAGCTTTGCACAAAACAACCTTATTGATTGCAGCAGCAGCAGCCCCGTTTCAGAACTCTCAGGCTTCCGTCGGTGCGCCTCGACACCAACCCACCTCGACCTCCAGCACAGCAGCGGGCCCAGCCCATCCTGCGAAACTGCGGGCTCAGGCCTCCACCCCAGGCCCACCCCTGCCCCCGCCCCAGGCCCCTTCGCTGGTGGCTGGGCAGAGCGTGCCGCCCCAGCGGCTGGTGCTCACCTCGCAGGCCCAGGCCCGCTTGCCCAGTAAGTGGCCTTGCTGTCCAGGGTCTTGCTGCTCTGGAGCAGTGTGTCAGGAACATGGGATATCTGAGGAGCCTTTGCTGTCCACTGCCTTTGTCTGTCCCTCAGCCCAGGCCTGGAGCATGATATCTGTCAGTGTGGGGCTGCACCAGAGGTCACCATCCAGGGTCCTGCTCTTCTCTGCTCTTTCTCCTCCTCACTCACCAGCTCTGCTTTCCTCCTGTGCTGCACTGGTGTTCAAGGCTGGCACCTCTGCTTAGCCTCAGCCATGGTTCTGTTCCAGCAGACCCTGGGTCCACTCTAGGGGCCAAGTGGTGAGGCTACATGAACTAGCATTAGGTTTCCAGATACTGTTAATTCTTTTTGGTTTCTCATATATTTCCAAGTTTAAACTTGGCATGAATACCTGCTCAACAGAGATGTTTCTTAGTCACAATTCAATGACGAAAACAATACAATATTACCAGTTTTTCCTAACCCAGAATTTTGTACAGTGGGATAAGCAGTTTTTCCAGTTTACAGATTATTATCCATCCTGTTGTGGAAATTATACTAACTTAAAATACAGATCATAGAATTGTTTCTTCCTGTGTAGCAGAGTCACACTGAGGCCTTTCTGGAAAGATGGGACGGGAGCAAGAAGCAGCATGGAAGGAGGGGGAAGTCCAGCTCAGCTTTCTCATCACAAGTCTCTTCTATGGCCTGCAGTGGAGATTGGTTATCCTAGGCAGTCATATGAGAGGAGAAAACTATGTCTATCCAGTGTTTCCATAGGAGATGAGAGTTACATTGGTGTGGGGAGGAGTTATGTGTAGTAAAACATGTAAAATGGGTGATTCAACTGGCCTTTACTCACCTATGGACCAAGGAGGGCAGATGGGAGATTTAAATGTCTGCGCGTAAATCTGTCTCTGATTTTTCATTTCCCCTTCCTTGTCCACTGTAATTCTGTGTCCAAGGTCTTTTCAGGTATTTTTCTTGTCTTTTACTAACCATTCTCCTTATGGTACACCATTACTAATTCTGGCATGGATTTTCTTGGGAGAAATATTTGAACTTGGATAGCACCCATTGACTATAAAACCTCTTTAAGCTGCTGATCAGATATTGGTGAAGTGAAGACTTTTCAGTTGGGAACATGATGACATTGAGTTACATTTCTAAAATATTAAAACAGTATTCAGTTTCACATTTTTTGTCAGTAAATGTTACAGATCAAATCTTATGATTCAAATTGAATCAGTATGAAACTTTATGTCTCAGTTTTATGTCTTACGTGTTGAAATATGTTCTTAGATTGTAAAAGTGAATGTAATGGGCCGGGTGTGGTGGCGCACGCCTTTGATCCCAGCACTTGGGAGGCAGAGGCAGGGGATCTCTGTGAGTTTGAGGCCGGCCTGGTACATAGTGAGTTCCAGGTCTCCAGGTCAGCTGGGACTATAGGGAGACCCTCTGTCTCCAAAACACCAAAAAAAAAAAAAAAAAAAAGCGAATGTGATTGAATTTATTATTTTTTCATGTCAGTGACATGAACTTACTTGCCTGTGAACCTAGTTGGACACATACTTTTTCAAATTTTGTAAGTCCTCTGTAGAGTATTCAGATTGTTGCAAGTACATTTCTGCTACTTTTGATATTTGCTGTTTCTTTTTATTCTTATTATTTTGAGAGAAAAGTAAAAAAATGTTCCTTCAATATTTATTAGTAATATCTGATATCTTAAGTCCCCTGTCAGTTGTGATTAAATAGATTAACTATTAAAATCTGATATTTTATTGTGTTTTTTCTTTTCTCTTAAAATAATTATTTTCTAAAAGTGGTAGAAAGTAATACCTAATTAGCATTTCTAAGACACTTGAGTTTAGACAGTTACTATTTTTAGTGATTGTCATATAACAATCTACAACTTTTCCCAAAATGGTGTTCTGTTAGTTCATCTTTTCCTCTGTGTTTCAACAGGTGGGGAGGTAGTGAAAATAGCTCAGCTGGCATCCATTGCAGGGCCACAGAGCCGTGTTGCCCAGCCAGAGACACCTGTGACACTACAGTTCCAGGGGAATAAGTTCACTTTGTCACATAGCCAGCTGAGGCAGCTCACAGCAGGCCAACCTCTACAGCTCCAAGGTAAGAGACAACCTGCTGATAATAACACTGACAAGGACAGGTGTGCCACCGTTAGCACTGTGCCTGAGAATCTGTCCTAGTTGGTAGGGTGACTTGGGCAAATAATGGGCCCCTGTAAGTTTCAGACTCTTCACCCAGGAATGGTGTTAATTTTCACTTCAGGGGTTGTTGAGGACCACTGAGATGACCATGAGTCATTTTGACAGTACCCTAAATAAGTGATACTCATTTTTATATTAATATCATCTACCCTTTGAAGAGAGTTTTCTATTTTGTAAACCAGAGTTAAAATGTTCACATCTTTCTAACATGAATTTTTCCAAAAATGCCAAAAGACTAGCAATTCATGTAAGGGAAATTATTTTCTTTTTCATACAGCTATTGGAGTATTGTTTTGGTGTGTGGTTTTTTTTTTTTTTTTTTTTTGAGTTGGGTTCTTACTATATTGCCCAGGCTGAGATCAAGCCATCCTCCTGCCTCAGCCTTCCAAGTAGCTGAGACCTCAAGATTTGTGCTACCATGCCCAGTTAAGAGTTCTAATTTTAAGTCTCAGGTTCAAACCTTTCAGACTTTTGGTTAAGAACAACATGAAGTTATTCCTTTTTTTTGGTCTTTTTGAGAGAGGGTCTCCCTGTAGCCCCAGCTGTCCCGAAACTCACTATGTAGACCAGAGTGGCCTTGAATGCACAGAGATCCGCCTGCCTCTGCCTCCCGAGTGCTAGGATTAAAGGCGCGCGCCACCACACCAGGTTATTCTTTTAAAAGAAAAGGAGGGAATGAAATTTGAGTAGCTCCCTAAAATTAATCTCCAGTGATATGGGGCAATGACTTGCATACCATGCTGTGGTTCCCTCCCAATCCCCAACCCTGCCTTGGACCCTCAGCTAGATGACAACTCTCCCGATAGAAAATCATTTCATGTGGTTTTAATTTCCATCTTCCCAGGGTTTGCGATCTCAGACTCAGGGCCATCCATGAGCATAGCTGGTGGTCAATTATTTCCTTGTCATGTGCTTAAGAAGAAGGGTCAGGTACACACCATAGAAAGTGTTAGGCTCTTTAAAGGGCAGCCCTAAAGCCATGGGCATCTGGGCCAAGCTCAGCTCTTCCCAGCAGTTTTTAATCTCATTGGCAGTGGCCACATGGCATCTGGGTGCTTTTCTGTGACTTTCACAGCCCTGGGACAACTGTAGTTCTCAGTGGTTATGTACCTGGCTATGTGCAAGGATTAGTGGTCTTTTCTTGATGTTGTACTCAGATGGTTCTCCATCAAGGACTTTGAGAATTCTCCTCCATCAGAGTTACTGAGCTATGTACTGTTGCTTGTGTAAATGTGGCTTTGGGTCTGCAGTGTAGTTATTTGTTTCTCTACTATTTGGAAGTGATAAGCGTGTAGCTGTACTATGCACACGCCTGTGACTGATGCTCCTGGTGGACCTATGATTGCAGGCAGCGTCCTCCAGATCGTGTCAGCCCCTGGGCAGCCCTACCTGCGAGCCCCTGGCCCTGTGGTGATGCAGACCGTGTCTCAGGCGGGCGCTGTGCATGGTGCCCTAGGAAGCAAGCCTCCAGCCGGTGGCCCCAGCCCCGCACCCTTGACCCCACAAGGTAGGGTGTTCTGAGCAGGGGGAAGGCTTGGTGGGAGCTTCTTCCTGACTCTTATTCGGATTGATTGGGAGGTGTTCCGTATCTCTGGCCATGGGCCTTCTGCATATCAAAGCTTTGTTTGTGACTGTCTTCCACAGATATGTTATGGTATCATCTTGGTTTATCTTTTCTTTCCATTGCTTTCAAAGATACTGGTTGACTATAACCCAGCCCCACTGTGTTCTAATAGGAAACTTTGAGAACTATGAGATGTGCTTATATCACATAAATTTTGTGTGTTTAAACTCCCTGAGAGCAGAGTCATGTGCTCTATACAAGTTTTGTACTGTGCTCTGTCTGCCTAGTGCATCCTGAACAGCTGCTGGGCTCCTAGCTTCTGTCATACCCTCTGCCAGCTTCTCTTCTGAGGTCCCACTCCTGCCTTTTTGTGCTCTGTACTAGAGGTGGTGGGTAGATTTGATGCAGGGGCAAGCAGGGAGTCATTACTTTTTATCATTGGTGCCCTGTATTGCTTCATCAGGATGGGCAAGAGGAAGATATGAGGCTGGGTTGGGCAGGGACAGGTATGTGCTCCATCCTTTCTAGAGAGGTCCTGAATCCAGCTCTCGCTATGATGTTCATGCACCAGAGTCCTACAGTCCCAGAGCCAGCTTTTCTTACCTTCTTGGGGGTTTTAGGAGTTAGCTATTACACCTTGGTCAAGCAGTCTATCTTTGGGACTGGATTTTATGCATATTGGCTTTCCTTTTCAGCTTTTTAATTTTTTTCCAATGCTAGGGATGGAACCCATAGTGTTGAGCATGCCAGGAAAGTGCTCTGTTACCAAACTATACCTGCATCTCCATCAGCTGTTTGCTTTTGCATTTGTAGTTGGTGTTCCGAGTCGAGTAGCAGTGAGCACCATGGCTGTTGGGGAACCTGGCCTAGCCTCCAAACCAGCTTCTCCCGCTGCGGGGCCGACCCAGGTAAGGCTTAGATGTGAGGACACACAGTTGCAAATGCATAGTGCTGAGGCAGGTGGCTTTCAGAAGCTTTGTGGTGGCAGCAAAGGCTTCTGTGATCCTTGTCAAGTTACGACTCTCAGAGATGCATGTGTTCTTTGAATTAGAGAGTTTTGATTTTATCAATGAAAGAAATGAAACTGGGCCTGTAACTGCAAGCACATTAGTTTTCATTCTTCTTGTCTTTTGTTTTCCTTGATGTTGTAAGTGCCCTCTATGTCTTGGGAAGAAAGGGAAGGCTCACTGCCTTATCTTTCTTCCTGTCATTGAGTGGTTCCACAGAACAAGGGCTATGGATATTGATGTGGATGTCTGGGTTCCCAGAGTGTTTGGTGAGATAACTTGCTGTGGTGTTTCTCAACTGACCATGTTCTGTTGTGTTTTTGATCAAGGAGGAAAAAAGCAGACTTTTGAAGGAGCGCCTGGATCAGATGCATTTTGTCAATGAACGCCGCTGTTCCCAAGTTCCAGTATATGGCAGAGACTTGCTGAGGATTTGTTCCTTTCCCAACAGAGGAAAGAGACCTTGGTGCTGGTCTTTGGATAGTAACCTTGGGAAAGGTGCTAGAGCAGCGAGCTGTTACGTATCATCCTCAGAGAGTAAAGGTGATCTGATTTTGACATTGAATCAACGTCAAGAATCCCTCCAGGATATTCTTAACAGGTGAGTTAGAGTTGCTCTTAACCACTGAACCATCTCTTCAGCCCCCCTTTTAAAATTTTAATCTATTTTTTTTTGCTTGGTTCTCTCTCCTTTTTAAAAACAAAAACAAAACAGGGTCTCACTATGTAGCCCTGGCTGGTCTGGAACTTATATGTGGACCTGGCTAGCCTTAAATTCACAGAGATCCACCTGCCTCTGCTAGAATTAAAGGCCTATGCCACTACACCCAGCCTGGTTCTTTTTAGATGTTCTTATTCCAGTTTGCGTTCCTCCCTGTTGTCCTTTTGGAGGTTTGAGGGGATTTGGGGTTTGTAACTTTGGAACCAGAGAGTCTGGTTACTAGGGCCTTATAGCTTACCCTACTAAAGTAGCCACATGCATGAGTAGACATTGCAGGGGTTGAACTTAGAACCTAAGTTAATAGAGAAGAAGCCCTAGTGGCCTGAGCGATATAGCCAACCCATCCTATTCCTGCTAGGCCTGGATGTTTGCTCATAGTGCTAACCCTGTGTACAGGTCTCTGTGCCCCTGGCCCTGATTTCCAGGCTTAGCTTCATAGCTGTTTTCTTTCTTGTCTGCTTGGGTTACCTTGTTACTCTCTGTCCAATGGGAAGCCTTGTTACTCCAGTGCCTGGACTCAGTGTTCAGGACTTGTCTATTTCAGGCCTCTCATATTGGGCAGGTTTACTCGAGAAAGGGACAGGAGAGTCCTTCCCTAGGCTGAGCCAGACTGTGCGTGCCACCCCCAGGTTCTGTGTGGTAGTCACAGCCATTTGTTCTCATGCCCTTGGTTTTTGTTAACCACTCATCAGTCGAGGGGCATTTAGGTTGCTTCCATCTCTTAGCTGTTGTGAAAAGAGGAGCAACAAACATGGTTGTACAAATGTCCTATAATAAATAGGATGAGCCTTTTTGGGTATATGCCAAGTAGTGGTATAACTGGGTCTTCCTTTTTTTTTCGGGGGGCGTGGGTCTTTTTGAGACAGGGTCTCCCTGTAGCCACAGCTGTCTTGGAACTCACTGTGTAGACCAGCCTGGCCTTAAACTCACAGAGATCCAACTGCCTCTGCCTCTGCCTCTGCCTCTGCCTCCCAAGTGCTGGGATTAAAGGTGTGCACTACCACACCCGGCCATTTTTAGTTTTTTAAGAGTTCTTCACACTGTTTTCCATAGTTTGCAGATTCCACCAGCAGTGAATGAGTGTTCCCCTTTCTCCACATCCTTGCCAGCATTTGGTATCATTTGTTCTCTTGATCCTAGCCAGTCTAATTGGGGTAAGGTGAAACCTTAGGATGGTTTTAATTTTCATTTCCCTAATTACTAAAGGTGTTGAATACTTTTTAAGATGTTTCTTAACCATCTTTATTTCTTCCTTTGAGAACTCTCTGTGTAGCTCTTTAGCCCATCTTTTAATTGGGCCATTTGGTTTCTCCATTCTTTGTTTTTGAGTTCTTTAAACCCCTGTCAGATGTGTCACTGGTGAAGATTTTTTCCCATTCTGGGTTTTCTCTTCACTTTTTTGTTTGTTTCTATTGCTGTACAGAAGCTTTTTAGTTTGATGAGGTCCCACTTGTTGATTGTTGACCTTAATACCTGAGCAACTTTTGTCTGATTTAGAAAATCCTTTTCTACACCTGTATCTTGTAGATTACTGCCAATTTTTTATTCTAATAGTATTAGGTTTTCCAGTTTCACATTGAGGTCTTTAATCCATTTGGAGTTGACTTTAGTGCAAGGTGAAAGAGGGATCTAGTTTCATTCTTCTGTAGGTGGATGGAGATGCAGTTTTGTATGCCCTTGGTTTTTACGGTTGTTGTTGTTTTTGTTTTGAAACAGGATTTTCCTGTAGCCTCAGCTGGCCTGGAACTCACTATATAGACCAGTTAGTCTTAATCTCAGAAATCTGCCTGTTTCTGCCTCCTGAGTTCTGGGATTAAAGGCATGAGCCACAATGCCTGGTTCGCATGCCCTTGTTTGTCTTTGAAATGCTCATCATCCTTACATAATCACCGGCAACCACTTCAGTATAGAAGTAGTTGGGAGAAAAATATCAAAACGCAGCTTCAACTAATGCATAGAGGGAAGGCTTTTCTGATGTAGGTGACTAGAACCTAGCAGGCGGTATCAAGTTCACTGTGGCCTTACAAGTTGACTTCAGCCTGCAGGGTGTCCTGGGTCTGGCCCGTCCTGGTGGCATGTCACCTGTAGCAGTTAGAAGGTTTGCATCTGAAGTCAATGTTCCTCTGTCTCCAGAGTCCCAGCTGGAATCTCTGAACCAGTAGCTGTGATCTGGAGAATGCCCTGTGCTGATCATTTAGGTGTAGTCTGTCTAAAGTTGTCCTTTGATGGCAGTCGTCTGGCTATGAAGGATTATGATACCCTTCAGTGAGGGAATCAGGAGCCCTTGCTGCTTCTCTGGCCACTCACTGTTGCCAGAGGGTTCTGCCCTTGCCCAGAAGCTTCACTGCTACCAGAGGCTCCAAGGTGCCCCATGGTGACCACACATGTTTTCTGTTCCTCAGGGTAGCCTGTGTGATTCCTCCAGTGGTGGCTGCACCACCCTCCCTATGGGTGTCAAGGCCACCCTCACTGTATAGTGGCAGGCTGAGGACCCTGAGGCAGTGCCTGAGGGAACACACTGGCCCCTACCACCGGCAGCTGCAGCAGCTGACAGCACTGCGCTCACTGCAGTTCCCTGAGCTGAGGCTGGTACAGTTCGACTCAGGTATGGTAGATCCTGATGGAGTGATTTGTGACGAGTCGATCCTGATGGAGTGATTTGTGACATGAGATACACTTGCTTTGGACTGCAAGACACTTGGTGTTTCCTTTCTTTAGGGAAGTTAGAAGCTTTAGCAATCCTACTACAGAAGCTAAAATCCGAAGGACGTCGGGTGCTGATTTTATCCCAGATGGTTCTTATGTTGGACATTTTAGAAATGTTCTTGAACTTCCATTATCTCACCTATATAAGGATTGATGAAAATGCCAACAGTGAACAACGACAGGTAAGCAGTAATCATACTGCCCTGTGTGATTCTGTTGTATGACCTTGAATCATCAGTTTCAGGCCTCGTTTCCTACAGCTGTGATGTCAGTGGTCCCCTGGCCCTTGTAGCAGAAGAGGTGGTATTTACTGTGTATCTGAGCTCTAGTTTGACTCCTTCTTTATGTTTTAGCATGAGCATGTTGATCATCTAGGAGTCTGTTCCTAGGTGTCCCAGAACAGCCAGGGGTGATCTGTGGTCACTTTGGAATAGTGTTAGCCTACTTTAAGAGGTGACTGGAGTTTAGACTAATTTATAGAGAAATGCAAATTTAAACTGTGCCCATGGTTTTGCTTACTACATTTGCTAGGGATAATCTGCTTTAATCAGGCACAACGAGAGAATTCATACATAGTGGGAGCTTGTGTTAGCATAAATGTCTAGAAAGCAGCATGGATTGCTGACTTCAGGGATGGATAGACACTTGATAGTTATCTCTATCCAGGACTTCCACACAAGCAATGTCCCACTGAACAATTTGTACACACAGTTAGCTGTTCATTATAGAAGAGCTTATGATGAGCCATGGTCAGAAACGGTGAATATTCAGTAGAAGAGAGCACAAAGAATGCCTCTGATTTGACAGTGTCACAAGCCGAAACTGCCTTCCACAGCTCCATAGGACAGGCTACAAAGTTCCCATTAGCAGTGTCTCAGAGCAAGCCTGAGTGCACAAAACGGTACTAGAAGAGACCTATGTTGCCCATTTTATGTTCCATAACAGATATAGGGTTTCCACGCAGCAAGTATGCACACATACAGAAACACACACAGAGGCCTGGAAAGACTACCCCAAAAAGATGAAGAGCCAGTTTTATTGGTAATACTGTAAATTAGTTTTTTTTGTTTTTTTGTTTTTTTTCAGGAAGAGGGTTGGTTCACTCTTAGTTCTGTTTTCGCATGGAAATAATTTACAGAAGAGAAGTGTTCTCTTTGTTGTTTTAGTTCATTGTCCTAAGTGAGATTAGGGAGATCGCTTCCTCAGCCTTACTCCAGGGCTTCTTGCCTGAAGATGGTCCTGGCATTGCCTGAGGATAGAGGAGAAAGCCCAGCTCCCTCCCCAACAAGACGCTGCTTTCTTGTGGGGCCTACAGATTGGGCTGACAGCAAATGCCACATAGAGCGTGGTATCTCATGTAACTGTGTTGTCTAAACATGGCATAGAGATGCTTGTGGTCAGTGATGGAAGGTACTGCACATACACAGGACAGCCAGGGTAAGTACTATAGGTGTTGCTGTTGCTTCAGTAGGGAACATGTATCACACAGAACAAATCAAACAGTTTTGTTACAAAGAAACTTGAACTGACAAAGCATAAAAAGTGTCAAAGGTCTCCCAGTATTCTCCAGAAATGTTAACCTGAGTACTTTGTTTCCTCTCAGGAGCTAATGAGGAGTTTCAACAGAGACAGGCGAATTTTCTGTGCCCTTCTCTCCACCCACAGCCGTGCTACTGGCATAAACCTTGTTGAGGCTGACACTGTGGTGTTTTATGACAATGACCTAAATCCAGTAATGGACGCCAAGGCTCAGGAGTGGTGTGATAGAATTGGGAGGTGCAAGGACATCCACATATACAGGTGATGACAGTTATGGCTGACTCTTGTAAATGCATGTGGTGAGCTTTGTGGAAGTCTTGTAATACAGAATTGAGAGGTAGAGTCAGATATATCTTGCAGTGGATTTTATTTTTTTTATTTATTTTTTTTATTTTTTTGGTCTTTTTGAGACAGGGTTTACCTGTAGCCCCAGCTGTCCTGGAACTCACTATGTAGGCCAGGCTGGCCTTGAACTCAACAGAGAACTCACAGCCTCTGCCTCCCCTGGAATTAAAGGCATAAGCCACCATGCCTGGCTCCTGCAGTGGAATTTTAAAAGTTTCTACTGTATTTGATTTATTCTCCCTTTAGACACATCACTATTACTGCTGGTATATCTAGTCTTTGTACTCAATATTTACTTAAACTTATAATTCAGTTGTATGGCTTATGTCTGGTCTGTTGGCTTGCTGGTGTTCAATGCTCAAATGTTATATCTCTTTTTACAGTGCCTATCTGTGGAGAGCAGTTTGTATTTGGGTTGTTTTAACTATTATAAAATATAAAGTATGTTGAAAGACATTCTGTATCATTATCTTCAAATACAAATCATAACTAGTCAAACACAACTAACTGGGGGAGACAGAGAACAGACCTGTGGCCCTTCTATATTTCTGGGTGGTATTATTATTATTATTATTATTATTATATAAGTTTATGTATGAGTATGGTTGCACCTTCAGCTGACTCTGAGTAAGACAGTGGAGCTGTGTCCTGTTTCCTGCTTAGGAACATAATCCAGACAGGCAAAAGATGAATAGTCTCTTCTAGGTAAGCATTGTTTGCAAGGTCAGATTGGTCTCACAAGTTGAAAAGAAAAAATAAGGTAATTTTATTTAAAAGCAGAGAGGGAGAGAGCCTAGTAATATGAATAGTTATTTCTCTGTGTCACAATAACATGAAAAGAAATCTAGCTCACTGGGGGGCAGGAAGACACGGAAGCTTAATATACAATGAAATGCCTATTCAGGTCTACCAGGCAGGCACCACAGCAAAGGGAGGGTGAGTCGGGCTTCAAGCCCTGGTAATAGAAGCTCCTGTGTGTTTATAGGGTACAGGGGTTGCCTCAGTTCTGAAAGCAACATGGCAAGACATGACAAAATTAAAGTGTTCTGTCCTTTACCCTGTCATAACCATGCTGAGGCATCTGCCCACATTGTAAGGGTGTTCACTGAAGCCTTGCCCACATGGACAAAGCAGGAACAGAGTGCCCATTGGGGTGGAGCTGTACATATATTGAACAGCCAGTAGGAAAAGGAATTTGGAGGGGATTTCTTCATGCTGCTTAGTGAAGAAAGCAAGTATAGGTTGGCATATGTCTGGACAGCACTGTGCCTTCTGCTGCACACCTAGAACACCTGGCAGAGTGCACCCAGGCTATTAGCCTTTGCATTGCCTGCCTAGGGGAAGGGGATGGAAAGGCAAACCAAGATGAAGATAAGTATTATAAGAATTCTTTCCCTGGGTAAATACGAATAATGTCTGTCCCCTCCTTATAAGGAAGGTCCCAACAACTAACCAAATCAGGATTCTATTAAAACTTTACCCAATGGAACCAATGAACTTATTAAGTTTACTTATAGAGCAAAAGTGAGGAATTTTTTTAATATTTCATTTATGATTTTTTTATTAGGTATATGAGTATACTACCTGCATGTGTGTAAGTACACCCATGTTGTGCAATGCCCATGGAGTTCAGAAGAGGGTGTCAGATCCCCTGGAACTAGAGTTACAGATGGTTGTTAGCTGCCGTGTAGGTGCTGGGAATTGAACCCAGGTCCTCTGTAAGAACGGCAAGTGCTCTAACCATTGGACATCTCTCCTAAGCAGCTGTACCCTGGAGTGGATGATGACTTCTCCATAGCTGCATAGATGGAGTCCCTACTTTAGTTAACTTTCCTCAGCCTGTATACTTTAACACCTCCATGTGTAGTTAGGACTGGATTGCATGTGAATGGCTGGGAGGAACAGGAAGGAACCACTGGACTCTCAGGTGAGGGTCCAGTTATCTTCCTCACACCCTCCTTTTCTGAGGACCTGTCAACAGTCAACAGGTCTCTTACAGGCAGGCATAGCTTATCTGAAGATGGTGGCTTTTTTGCTTGGAGGACTGTATTGTACAACAGTATATCTATAAAAAGTTGCCCACAGGAGTGGTGAGATGGCTCAGCAGTTACAGGCTCTTTCCACCAAGCCTGACAACCCAAGTTCAATCCCCAGGACCCACATGGTAGAAGGAGAGAACCAACTACTGCAAGTTGTCCTCTTACCTCCACACATAGGCAGTGGCATATCCTATATGTGTGCACACACAATTAATATAATTTTTATAAAAATGTTGCCTGTGCTGGACATGGTGGCATAAGCTGTAATCCCAGCATTTGTACAACTGAGACAGGAAGATTATAGCTTGAAGCTAACCTGGGCTGCATAATAACAACTGTGTTTCAACCAAACCAAACCCAGAGGTCACTCACTTCATGTATGTGGGATCACATGAATGTAAGGTGGCAGCCATCTTGTTATATGCATATGTATTGATGTGCTTACAAAACAATGTGGGTGGAAATGTGAGCATGTTTCAATAGTTATTTCAGGGATTAGAATTGGGCTGACTTTTTCCCCCTGTTCCTTATGCTCAGATATAACGTTTTTTATTTTTTATTTTTATTTTTTGCTCTTTTTGAGACAGGGTGTCTCTGTAGCCCCAGCTGGCCTGGAACTGACTAGGTAGAGCAGGCTGGCCTTGAACTCACAGAGATCCACCTGCCTCTGCCTCCGGAGTGCTGGAATTAAAGGCGTGCGCCACCACGCCCGGCAATGTAATTTTTTTTTTCTTTGTACTGCCCATGCATTAATATGGTCAAGACAGAACAGACTTTCACTGCATTTTCCCAGATATGATATTACCATTTCATGCATTCTCAATCTTTCTGGATCATGTTGCCACTTCCCTTGGTTGGATAGTTTTTCTACCCAGCATTTATAGGTCTGTTCCTTTCTAATTTGTGCCCTTTGATTGTCTTCATCTAGGTTCCTTATTTAGAGTTTTTTTTTTTTCTGTAAAAATTTCATTTGTTCTTTCAAATGAAATTTGAAAAAAATAAATCCTGCTAAAATCATTTAATTTGAGCTTTCTTAGATTTTAGTGTTTAGAATCTTCTGAGTCAGCATTGTGGGAAGATAATAGACTGTGGATGGGGCCTGCATGGGCCTCTACCCTGAGACCATCTGTTCCATTGTCTGTTAAGCAGGGACAACACCCCATAGTTCAGTCTTCTGTTAGCTTCTTTTGTGAGCCTAGCAACTTTCAGGGGACACATGAAAACTGTCCATACTTAGGTAAGAATGGGATTATCTCTTTGACGCACGAGTCTCAACAGGCAAGTCAGAGAAGTGCTTAACTCTGCCTGCTGGAGTCAGAGAATCAGAGAAAATTTCAAGAAGGGCAAGTGCTTGTGATGAGTCCAGGACTGAGTTAGACATTTCCAGGTTGAAGATGATGGGAAAAAACAGTACTAGTTAGAGGAATGTCCCACAGGACAGTGTGAAAAGTTGTGGATCTACATGGCCTACCAAACTGCAATGATCAGAGAAGCCACTTGAGCCAGGCTTGAAGAGGGTTTGGAGGCTAGTAGGTATTGATCAGAAGGTGGTGCTGGTGCCGCTTCTCTGGCTACCATTTCACCTGTGCCTGGTGTTGATTTCTTAGGTTTCCAAGTGATTTAACTGTCACTGTGTCTGTATGTATGTATATATATATGTGTGTGTGTGTGTGTGTGTATATATATATATATATTTTTTTTTTTTTTTGTAGGCTTGTCAGTGGCAATTCTATTGAAGAGAAATTGTTGAAAAATGGAACTAAAGATTTGATCCGAGAAGTAGCTGCTCAGGGAAATGACTACTCCATGGCATTCTTAACTCAGGTATCCTTCATTTGCTAAGAATTCTGCCTGTGGTATGGTAGGCCTGCAATTCTAGCACTCAGGAGGCTGAGGCAGGAGGACAGTGCATTTAATACCAATCTGGGCTATATAGTGAGACCCTGTCTCACCTCCTAACCTCACTCAGGGTGAAGAATACCAGGGTGAACAGAATCATCTCTTTAAAAAGTTTTTTGGCCAGGCGTGGTATCACATGCCTTTAATCCCAGCACTCAGGAGGCAGAGGCAGGCAGATCTCTGTGAGTTCAAGGCTAGCCTGGTCTACATAGTGAGTTCCAGGACAGCTGGGGCTACAGGAAGACCCTGTTTCAAAAAGACCAAAAAAAAAATTTATTTATTTATTTTTTTTAAAAGACAGGGTCTCAGGGCTAGTATGGTGGCACACACCTTTAGTCCCAACACTTAAGAGACAGAGGCAGGCAAATCTCTGTGAGTTCAAGGCCAGCCTGGTCTACAAAGTAAGTTCCAGGCTACCTGGAACTTTGAGACCCTGTCTCAAAAATACCAAAAACAAAAACAAAGGCAATATCTGACTGTGTAGCCCTGGCTGGCTGGAACTCTTTATGCAGACCAGATTAGCCTTTAATTCCAGAGATTGGGCTGTGTCTGCCTCCTAAGTGCTGGGATTAAAGGCATGTATGCCACTATGCATTGCAGAATTGTCTTATTTTAATGTGTATGCACTAATGAGGACTGTTTGTCTGATGGGTATTCATGCTGCGTAAGGCTAAAGTTAAATATAGGATTATGTCTGTTCCTGGAAAATAATGTGCTTATTTGTGTCCAGCGAACTATCCAGGAGCTGTTTGAGGTTTACTCACCCATGGATGATGCTGGCTTTCCTGTGAAAGCTGAGGAGTTTGTGGTGCTTTCTCAGGAACCTTCTGTCAGTGAAACCATTGCACCCAAGATTGCAAGACCTTTCATAGAGGTGAGAGTAAATCTGGTCAGCCCTAAGTGTTGTTTGTCTGACAATGAACATTCTGTTTGAGTCTTGACCATATGTGCTTTCCTGATGTGACTGTGTGATTTACTCACGTAGCTTCTGAGCACTCAGTCATTACTCTTCCCTGATCTGTGAGCCCTTTCTCTCAACTCTGCCATCTACCTCCTTTCTTTCTTTCTTTCTGCTCTGCTTCCCTCATTTCTTCTCTCCTAACTGTAAAGAAATGTTAAGTGAGTGGTGATGAAGATACAGTCTCTTTCAGCTGTTGCCCCTGTGTCTGTTAAGACTTATTGAGCCATACTTGATTTCCAGTATTGAGCTGATTTCCAGTATTGAGCTGTGTTGTCTCCTCCTCCTCTGACTCAAGTAGCCACCAGCTCCATGTGGCCCCTGAGCCAATGAAGAAACATTGTTCACCTTTATCAGGTGCACAGTCATTGTAAAATACACAGCTGACTTTGAAGACCTACACAAGGCCCCAGAGTGTCTAGCTCCTCTCACAATGGTACCTTGTTGAGGTGTAATATTTTGGATGCGTCTGAGGAATATTACTGTTTTAGTGCTGATACTAGAAGGTTTAGAGTTGGACATGTAGGTCCAATGCAGTGGCCGTCTGTATGGTCATATAATGGGTACCTGTCAGGGCTACTTACCTCCTCTCCAGTCTATTCACTGCCTGACCAAAGTCCTCTCCACTCTCAAGACTAGGCCTTAACTGTCCCTCACTTGTTGAATGACTCCTTCTCTACCACAGTGAAGGGAAGGGGCTTCCTTCCTCTCCAGACCCTGCTCCCCATGCTCTCCTTCAGTGTCTTTCTCATGGAAACCTCTACATCTCTCATTCTGTTGTTTTACTGGGGTGGTGACTGATGACTTGTTTGCTTGCTTTTCTCTGAGAGCTGTGAAGGATAGTGTGTAGCAGTGCTCTAGTTTGCTGTGTTGGCCTGTAGTTCATGATGTCAGAGCTTGTTTTCACTGACAGTGGTCATGATGAGCTGCTCCGCTTTTGTTTAAATATTTGTATGTGTTTTTGTGTGCATATGCACACATGCTTGTGTGGAGGTCAGAGGACAACTTGTAGACATCTTCCAGCATGTGGGTTCTGAGAATTGAATTCAGGTCATCAGACTTGATGGCAAATGCCTTTACCTGCTGATCATCTTATTGGTCAGGTTTTTTTTCTCCCTTCCACTTCCCCTCCTCTTTCCCTTTCCCCTCCCTTCAGGTCATCAGGCTTATTGGTAAGATCTTTTACCTGTTGCTCTATCTTGCTGATCACTGGCTAAGTTTGTCCTCCCTCCCTCCCTTCCTTCCAAGACTTAAAACTTTTCTTCTGGGGCTGGAGAGATGGCTCAGTGATTAAGAGCACTGATAGCTCTTGCAGAGGATCTTGGTTTGATTCCCAGCACCCACATGGCGGCTGCGAACCATCCTTAACTCCAGTTCCAGGGGAAGTGGAAGCCCTCTTCTGATCTGAGGCATTGCACAACATGGGTACACTCACATACATGCAGGTAATTCACTCATACACATAAAATAAAAATAATAAATAAAATATTTAAAAAACCACTTTTCTTATTATTATGTAATTTTATGTATATGAGTGTTTTGCCTGCTTGTATGTAGGTGTATCATGTATATGCGGTGCCTACAGAGACCAGAAAAGGACATTGGGTAGGAACTAGAGTTATAAACAGTTAGCCGCCATGTTGGTGCTGGGACTTGAACGCAAGTCCTCTATAAGAGCAGCCAGTACTCTTAACCAATGAGCTACCTCTCCAGCCCCTCTTAAGAATTCTTTATGCCTTGTGGACTTAAGTGCCTCTACTTGGTATGGACATGGCATCCATGCTGTGGTTTTTCTGTCTTGATGAGCCAAGATTCCCAGACCTGACACCATCTGGAGCTCTTTTCTCTTGTGTTCTGCTTAAAAGATTCTTCAGCTGGGCGTGGTGGCACACGCCTTTAATCCCAGCACTTGGGAGGCAGAGGCAGGTGGATCTCTGTGCGTTCAAGGCCAGCCTGGTCTACACAGGTGGGTTCCAAGACAGCTGGGGCTACAGGAAGAACCTGTCTCAAAAAGGCCAAAAAAAAAAATTCTTCAAGGTCACCATGGTACCCTCCTTTATGCCTTTTAGAAATAATTTCTGTTAATTTTTGTGGGTCTTGTGCAGTACTATCATAGTTTAAATTGCAGGTTTTACCAAATTGCTCCGAAAACTGGTTGCATGATTTTGTTGTGCATCTTCTGACCCACAGCTGTATTATCTCAGCTGAGAGACCTGTCTATGTTCCTTAGCCACTGTCAGATGTGTGCTCTTGGCTTCTTTAAAGGTGGACATTGGCAGCTTTTCAATGAGCATGCCTCAGATTCTGACAAAGCTAGGTAGCTGTCCTTTATGTTCTTGGGCACCTCTACTACAGTTTTCTGTAGACTTATTTTTGTATTTGGGCTGTGTACAGTAGACTCTGGTTCTCCCTGTGTGTCAGCAGCTGTGGCTAATAGTCTACCTGGTGTGAGATGAAGCTGCATGGCCTCTCTTTGTTCATGGAGTCTCTGTTCTGGTAGCCTCATTGTCCTCCCATTTATCTTGGCATATCATCATCCTTTGCCCATGTCAGTGTTCTGTTCATGGGTTTTTTTCCTGTCCAGCTTGATAGTTATTTTGGAAAGCACAGAGTTTTTTAGATCAATCTATGGTCTCTCATCACCTGAGTGTCTATTATCTGACTTACGTTTGAGAATCTTTTCGTTGTTTGGGGTTTTTTTGTTGGTTTTGTTTGTTTATTTGTTTGTTTGGAGACAGGGTCTTCTGTAGCCCCAGCTGGCCTGAAACTCACTGTGTAGACCAGGCTGTCCTCGACCTCACAGAGATCCTCCTGCTTCTGCTTCTCAAGTGCTGGGATTAAGGTGTGTGCCACCCTGCTCCTGTTTGAGACTCTTAAAGGAAGGGACTACCTCCCTGGAGGCTTGGTGATTACTTACAGCACAGGCATCTACTTTAATGTTACTAACCCATGCGTTTGACAAGTCCACTTCGTAGTCTCACTGCAGACTCCCTGTAGGCCCTCAAGAGCATTGAGTATCTGGAGGAAGATGCCCAGAGGTCCACAGAGGAAGCTGTGCCTGGATCCAGCACTGAAGTTGTGTCTTCAGACTTGGACAGCTCCCGATGTGATGAGGAGCCTTCACAACTGGAGGAGCTGGCTGACTTTATGGAACAGGTTTGGGAACTTTCTCCCTTTAAAGTTAAGTGCTATAACATTTGAACCCTTTTGTAAAATGTTTTGTTTACTTTGTATAAGAACAGCCACTCTTTAAATGTAGTGAGGGGATTTTATAAGGAATTTTATTGGCCTTTATTGACTTGGTACTAACTTGTTAGTTTTTTTTTTTTTATTTTTTTAAATAGCTTACACCAATTGAAAAATATGCATTGAATTACTTGGAATTGTTCCATACAACCATTGAGCAAGAAAAAGAGAGAAGCAGTGAGGTAAGGGGATCAGGATTTGGTCAGTTTAACATGTGAAAAGTAAAAATTTTGAGTACCAAATTTGATTGAAGTGAAGTGACTTAAAGAAACAAAGCCAAACCTTAGCAGTGCAGGACTCACTGAAAAGACATCTTGGAAGGCCTGTACAGGCTGCTGTGTTGCTTGCTTTTTACCTTGATGTCATTCATGTCTTGCACTGACTTTAAAAATAAAAACAAGTTTATTTTTTTTAATCTGTATGTGTGATTTTGCCTGTATGTATGTGAGTGCACCACATGCATGCAATGCCCAAGGAGGCCAGACGAGGGCATTGTGTCCCCTAGAACTGGATTTATAGACAGTTGTGATCTGCCATGTGGTTGCTGAGAACTGAACCTGGGTCCTATGCAAGAGCAGCGAGTGCTCTTAATCACTAAGCCATCTTTCCAGCCCCTCTGCACTTCATTTGAAGTAGCTTGGGAGCTGATGGGGGTTATATGCTATGGGGAAGTGGGTGTTTATCAGTGAGAACCAAGACATCCCCTTGTTAGAGTCATGGGGATTCATCACGTATGCCTACATAGTGCCTGGGGAGTAGATCACTCCTGCTTGCTGTAATTTTAAGGGCCTTTCTCTTTTCTCTATCCTGCTAGGATGTGGTGATAGCATCAGTGAGGGACTGGGAGTCCCGCAATGCTCGGGCCCTGCAGGAGCGGGAGGTCCAACTGCAGCTTGAGCAGGAGGAGGCAGAACTTCTCACCTATACTCGGGAGGATGCCTACAGCATGGTACCTCAAGCCTCCACCCTAGAGGAGAGCACTCAGCTTCCTTGGCCTATGTTATACCTGCTCCCACCTAATTCCTGTTCTAAAAGCACTTTCCTGATAACGGACACTTGGTTTGAGGTCTTCATTGAGATACTGACTTTTTCCTGAATGGATAGATTGTCAATCTTTGAGTAAAACACAATTTTAAATCTTATAGTTAGGCTTGTTGGACTGACTTATAAGACTTTAAATATTGAAATATGTGATTTGTGGCATATAGTGTGAAACCATTTAAGTTTTAAGTTTGCTCATGTTCCACAGGAGTATATCTATGAAGATGCTGATGGACAGACAGAAGTTATGCCGGTATGTGACCCCCCTCTCACTACATGCCTGAGTGAGAGCCCAGTTTTCTATAGCTCTGTAGCTTATGGGACTTGATTTCTCTACACAGCTCTGGACTCCACCCACTCCTCCTCAGGATGACAATGACATCTACATTGACTCGGTTATGTGTCTCATGTATGAGTCTACACCCATCCCAGAAGCTAAACTGCCTCCAGTTTATGTGAGGAAGGAACGCAAGCGGCACAAAACAGACCCCTCAGGTGTGCACCCCCACAGATTTCTGCCCCCAGGCAGTGCTGTGCTGAGGGGAGGGCAAGTGTCTGTGGCTCTTCTTCCTTCTGTTGGAATCTGAGGAGGGAACCACATACCCTTCATTACCTCTTGTACCATGTTCCTGGGACCTACCCTTTTAAGTGAGGAACCTGGATAGTTATATCTCTCAGTACTAGAAAACCACAAGGGGGTTGGGTACCATGAATACCCATCCATTAGGATTCTGAGGCAGGAGAATCATGAGAGTTCATGTCCAGCCTAAGCTACATAGTGAGACTGTCTCAAAAAACCAAAAACAATTCGTAAAACACAAAGTGGTTTTTTTCTTAAGCAGTTGCTTCCATAGCCCTCTGATCCACACACCTCTTGTGTGCTTTCTTCTTTCCTTTATTTTTTTGAGACAGGGTCTCCCTATAGCCCCAGTTGGCCTGGAACTCACTATGTAGATTCCACAGAGATCCACCTGCCTCTGCCTGGGTTGAAAACCATATACCACCATGCCTGGCTCTTACCTTACCCTGTTGGTGCTGAATCTGTATTGCTTGGTTCCATATTGTTGAAGTCTGCCCCTGTTTAGCTGCAGGAAGGAAAAAGAAGCAGCGGCATGGTGAGGCAGTTGTTCCGCCACGGTCCCTGTTTGACCGGGCAACACCCGGTATGTTGAAAATCCGACGTGAAGGCAAAGAGCAGAAGAAGAACCTGCTGCTGAAGCAGCAGACGCCCTTCGCCAAGCCTCTGCCCACCTATGTTAAGTCCTCAGGGGAGCCTGCCCAGGATAGTCCTGAGTGGCTCATTGGTGAGGACTGGGCCCTGCTGCAGGTAAGTGGCCTTGTCTTTGGTGTGAGCATGTTTGCTTCCTTTGTTGGTGCATTCACAGTATGATTGCTTTGTGTCTTTGGCACAAGGGAAGATAGCACCAGTGCATTTTTTGACCTGTGTGATCTGAAACCTTGTCCTCCAGGCTGTAAAGCAGTTACTCGAACTGCCCTTGAACCTCACAATTGTGTCACCTGCTCACACTCCTAATTGGGACCTTGTCAGTGATGTCGTCAACTCCTGCAGCCGAATCTACCGCTCTTCCAAGCAGTGCCGGAACCGTTACGAGAATGTCATTATTCCCAGAGAGGAGGGGAAGGTGAGCTTGACCTTCTTGGTCTTCCTGGGATGAAGACCTGCATAATAACCAGGTCCTGCTGTGCATTACTGGGCAGCTTGCCTGTCCCTGTAGACTGGTGAAGTCAACTTCCACAGTCACTGAGGCCCATGTCTGCACAGTACCTTACAACATGGACAGCCATGGAGAGTCATCTTGCACTTGGTGTCATGATTGGTGTTAGCAGCATACAGATACCAGCATTTGTGTTGTTGCTGCAGTGTAGAAAACTGTGCCATCCAGTCATTGGATATAGCTAGTTTTTTTTTGTTTGTTTGTTTTTTGGATAAGTAAAAGAACTCTTGGTAACTAGCTTACTTAAAGAAGAGTCTGCTCTTATTTTCTCTGCTGTGTTCAAGCTGAATCTGGGGTTTGATAAGCACAATCTGTTTCTGGGTTAACTTTGAGCATTGTAAGTCTTTATGTAATGATAGTATAGCCAAAACATTGTGTCTTTCATCCTGGCCTGAGATGAGTCAGTGCTACTGTTCCCCACCTGCGCTGAGTTTGTCACTTTCTATTTTTCCATTTAGCTTTCTTTACATGGCTCCTTCCTTTTTGCCACTTGACTGCTAATCTCTCTGCACAATATCTGCAGGCCCTGTCACACCAGTATTTGTAAATGTTGAGTCCCATTGTCAGGGCACGTGTGCAGACAGCACTGGTTTTCTGATTACTACCTAGGGGTGTCATCAACATAGGAGCAGTGGTGACATTGTCAAAACAGACGTCTAGTCCTTGTACTGAATTTGCTGTTTTAGTTGCAATTTGTGAAAATGACCTTGACATAAGAGCCACATGTATCCTCAGGACAAGGTTGCCACACTCACTTCTGTGACCACTCTTTCAGCCATCTCTTGTCATTTCTAAAGTAACTCCTCTCAGAACAAAGCATTTGTTTGCTTTTTTAATTAAAAAGCAAGCCTTCCTCATGATACCATTTTGTGGTACCTCCACCATAAAACTTCCTGAAATCTCACATTCACTCTCTTATGTTCTGGAAGCATTTATAATAATAAGGGCCATTACCTTAATATTGAAAAAAAATAAAGCTAAAATTTTTTCTTCTCTTATAGCCTATATGTGAAGCTAATCCAAAGAAAAAGGCACAAAATATTTATAAGGTACGAGGAGGTGTTCTGAATGAGTTGGAAAGCTTTGTGTAAGTGCCTGTGCAAAGGAGCACAGGGAGATTCAGAGTGAGCCCGGATTGGAATAGGAGCAATGCAGCACCTAGGATTTTCTCGAGTGCCTTTTATTCCTATGCATAGAGGATTTGCTTCTTCACCTGAAGGAGGGACCACACAGTGATTCACTGAGCCTCCCTCAGGGATGTCCAGAGCCTCCCTGTTGTTGATGCCCTGTTTGAGGCCTGTGGCATGAGGCTAGATGTGAGTAAGCATAGGATAGCTACAGGCTTGTAGCCCTGAAACCACCATAGCTAGAGCCAACCAGGGCTTTGTCACTGAACACACAATCCTTCCTGCCTCTGGCCTTAGCTTGCCTTTATTCTGATGGTGGGTGATGTACCAGCTCTTACTCTCCCTTTTCCCTGCCTCCCTTTGTCTAGCTTTGTTTTTGTTTTTGTGGTGTTTTGTTTTGTTTTGTTTTGTTTTTTTAGTTTTTTTTTTGATAGGAGAATGCTCATGTAGGGGACAGTAGGGAAGCAGATACATGTAACTTTGCACAATATTTTTGTTTTTGTTTTGTTTTGTTTTAGTTCTGACTTTCCTTGGAATGTAAGATATGTGCACATTTGTGTACTTGCCTAAGTACATCACAGGTGTACTGTGTATACCTCACTGACTCCAGTCATGGGGTTGGTTGGGGTTTAGAGATGCTGAGGGGTAGAAAGAGTCCTGGGCCAGGAGGGTTGTGAACTCTCATCTCTGAGCACCTTTGATCTTGCACAGATTGTATTTCTGGTTCTCTCTATACATGAGGGAAATGCTTTGAAGTTCTGTGGAGTACTTAGGTATCTTTGTAGCAAGGAGGTGCACAAGTAGATGACAGTTGAATGGCCTTTTTAGTTTAGCTGTGGGATTTATGCAGGAAAGATCACTAGGCACAAATGATGCCACAGCCATAAAGGAATGCACTCTTAGACATTCCTGTCGCCTTTGCTGTCCACTATAGTAGAAGATCTCTGTGGGATCAGCACTACCCCCCCCCTTTGCGTCTGTGGGTATTGGACCTAATAAGTGAAGACTTTCAGCCAGCTCCACCCCATCACCTACCATTTCACCCCAGAGTGTGACCCTGAGTACTTTGTACAGCCTTTTTTTCCTTAGCTGAAGGGGAAACCCAACTGACCAAGGATTCCTAAGGATTGGGAAATATTGTCAGCTACCAGGAAATGATAACCACCCAGTATTACTACTGTTGTACTATGTTATCTCAAAAAGCAAGGGCTGGGGATGCCTTTAATCCCAGCACTCAGGAGGCAGAGGCAGGCGGATCTCTGTGAGATCAAGGCCAGTGTGGTCTATATAGTGAGTTCCAGACCAGCTGGGGCTACAGGGAAACCCTGTCTCAAAACAACAAGCAAAATGATAGATAGATAGATAGATAGATAGATAGATGATTGATAGATAGATAGATAGATAGATAGATAGATAGATAGATAGATAGATAGATAGATGATAGATAGATGATAGATGGAAAAGGAAACTTGGGTGTAGCCATTGGAGCTTAGTCACAGGCTTCTGATTCAATAATTTCCAGAGCAGTTGTCTGTCAGGCTGATAGTCTAAACTTGATGAAGTCCTGTCAATTTTGTTTCAGAGTAAGAATAATCGTCCACTTCGCACGAGCCAGATTTATGCCCAGGATGAGAATGCCACTCACACCCAGCTGTACACAAGTCACTTTGATCTGATGAAAATGACCGCTGGCAAGAGAAGCCCCCCAATCAAGCCTCTGTATGTTCCCTGGACTCTCATTCTGTCACTGTGACATCAGCTGAGAGGCTGGTGATTTGAGATTTGCTCTTGCTTATATTTTCCCCTTGTAACTGCTCTCTTATTTCTATGCTGCAGGCTTGGCATGAATCCCTTTCAGAAGAATCCCAAGCATGCCTCAGTGCTGGCAGAAAGGTACTTCTGACACATTTTTCATCTTTGAAGTGAGTTTGAGTATTCACTTAAGTTGAGTAGTGTAGCATATTCCATCCTGCCCTGGACAGAATGGTGTAGTCTCTGAGCTTGAGAAACCATGAGGTCTCTTGCCCTCAAGCAGCGCATGCCTGAGGTGGCCTTTGCTACGCAAGGACATGGAGAGCCATGTTCTGCATCTATAAGGGCCATTGTCCTTGCATGCTTTGTGGTAGGGGCATTGTTCTCAGGCATAAGGAGTATGTTTCAGGTCTGAGAGAGTGATGGACTATAAGGAACTTTGTCCAGCTCTGCCTTCCTTCAGGTATAGGTTTTATTGGTTGTCTCATAAAACAATATTAAGTTTAGAGGTGAGTATACATGCTTGTGATTTAGCAAAGGAAAAAGAAATGAGTTGGTGCGGGGATGGTAAAATGGGAAGATGGGAGGAAGTAAGCAAGCTAACCTTTGAGCTGTTTGGATCTGAGTGCTGGACTGGTTGCTGGCAGCATTTTTGTATGCTCGGATTTCTGGGATACTGTTAACGAAGGAAATCTGCTCATCTGAAACAGCCACTGCTCTCTCTTTATCACTGCTGTGTGCACATTGGTCACGTCCCATCCAGCCTTTACTTTCCTGCTAAATGCTGCATGTCTCTTTGCTACATGGCCAGAAAGTGGTCCTTGCCAAAGACAGTCAGCTCATGAAACATCTACTGAACTTGTGATGGCTCTCTTTAGCAGTACTCTGTATGACCTGGGCTCTATCTAGCTCTTTACATCTTGGTGTTCTGTCTCTAGGGGATGGACCAATCTGTGGAAACTTGAAGCCCGGCCCTGCCACGTATTGCTCATTTGTTGTCTACATCTCTGCAGTGGTGCTTATTGGTTAGATGAAGTGATGAGTTAATTCAGTTAGTGTTTATTAATAGCTTAAGGGCTAGCGTGGCCACACAGTGCCCCTAGAAGTGTATGTAGTAAGTAAGAAAGAGGGACCAGGGATCCCTGAAGATGTTTTGAGCACAGTGTAGGACTATGAGAAGAGCCTTAAGTGTTCAGGGAGAGGAGCTTTGGGTATTCTGGGGACTATTCAGTCATCTCCCTGGGAAGGTGGGGTGTGAGCTGGACCTGAAGAGGTAGCCAAAGGTAGGACACTCAGAGTCACCAGATCTGTGTAGGCAGAAGCAGTCTTTGCTGCATGAGCTGGGGGACTATGATAGTCTGAGCAGGACTCTCACACAGCTGGATGTGAGGGATCAAACAGTCGAGCATTTGATCTGGGGTGTTGGTAGGAGACTGTGGCTGTGTCTCTAATGGGGAGCTTGTCCAGAGAGTTGTGGGGTAGCTTCAGGTAGACTCTGCATTCCTTGTAGACTTAGAGGATTCATGGAGGTGTGTCTGGGGCAGATCCACAGAGCTCAGGTACCAATAGTGGGTACCTGAAACTGCAGAAAGTACTGAACCTTATGTATGCTGGGCATTTTTTGTTTCTCTTTTCTTTCTGAGATAAGATGTTACTCTGTAGCACAGACTGACCTTGAACTCATAACATCCCCTTGCCTCAGCCTTGAGAGTGGCAGGATCCTGTACAGGTGTGAGTCATCATGCTCTGTATGCTATTCTTTCACCTTTTTATTTAAGTACTGTCTGATGTTTTTCTGGCATATCCAGATTGCCAGCATTGCTCTTTTTCTATGTTATTAAGTAAAGTCAGGGTTATTTGACATAGACCTGAGATATAGCCAGTCTGATAGCAGAGACTGTGGACTGAGTGACTAGTAGGTGAATAGTATAGGCAATGTGGACATACTTGTCCAAAGGACAACCCATACCTTAGGCTGGAAAGAATGGAGCAATACATGATTTCATCAGAGTACTCTGAACAATATGCAGTTTAAAACTAATGAATTGTGGGGCTGGAGAGATGGCTCAGTGGTTAAGAGCACTGATTACTCTTTCAGAAGACCCAAGTTCAAATCCCAACACCCACATGGTGGCTAACAACCATCCATAAGGGAATCCGGCATCCTCTTCTGACTTTTCATGGGCATTGCACAACACGGGTACACTCACATGCATGCAAGCAGTACACTCATAGACATAAAATAAAAAAAAATTAAAAATTTTTTGAAAAAAACTAATGAATTATGGGATGGAGAGATGGCTTGGCAGTTTAAGAGCATGTACTACTCTTAAGGCACCCAAGTCAGTTCTAAGCACCTATATTAGGTGGCTCACAACCTCCTGTAACTCCACCTCTAAGGGATCCAGTGCCCTCTTCGGGCTTCCATGGGCATTTGCACTCATGTGCACGTATTCCTACACATATATGTACACATAGACATAATTAAAAATAAAATCTTTTAAAAACAAATAATGGGGGCTGGAGAGATGGCTCAGTGGTTAAAAGTACTGGCTGTTCTTGCAGAGGACCTGGGTTCAGTTCCCAGCACCCAAATGGTAGCTAACAACCATACATAACTCTAGTTCCAGGGGATCCAAACACATTTTTTGGCCACTAAAGGCACTGCACAGCATGGGTGCACTTGCACACAAGCAAAACATAAAATAGTATTTAAACACATAAAATAGAAATCAAAAATTTAAACAAAAAAATTTTTTTTTTGGTCTTTTTGAAGCAGGGTCTCCCTGTAAGCCCCAGCTGTCCTGGAACTCACTGTGTAGACCAGGCTGGCCTTGAACTCACAGAGATCCACCTGCCTCTGCCTCCCAAGTGCCGGGATTACAGGTGTGTACCACCACTCCTAGCTAAAACAAAATTTTTTAAACCAATGAATTGGTGGTTTTTAGAATTTTCTTTTCTTTTTTTGGTCTTCTTGAGACAGGGTCTCCCTGTAGCCTTAGCTGGCCTGGAACTCACTATGTAGACTGGGCTTACCTCCATCCTCATTTTCACAGAGATAGCCTGTCTCTGCCTCCCAAGTGCTGGGTCTAAAAGTTTAGCATGTGCCAATCACATTGGGCTAGAATTTTTTAAAAACTATTTTGACCATGGCTGACACATGTAATTAAAGCTGTAGATAAAGGGGCTGCTCTCTTTAACTTTTATCTTTCAGTGGAATCAACTATGACAAACCACTGCCTCCTATTCAAGTTGCATCTCTCCGTGCGGAGCGAATCGCAAAAGAGAAAAAGGTATGGTGCCCTGGGTCCTCTGGGAACATATTGCTGTGACATGGCATCACTTGGCTGGGTCCAGTTCCTTTAGCAGCTTCTCTTCCTATCTGACTGATCCTTCTAGGCTTTGGCTGATCAGCAGAAGGCACAGCAGCCGACTGTGACACAACCACCCCCTCAACAGCAGCAGCAGCAGCAGCAGCAGCAGCAGCAACAGCAGCAGCAGCAGCAGCAGCCGCCGCCCCAGCCCCAGCCCCAGCCCCCACCACCCCCACAGCAGCCACCACCACCACTGCCCCAGCCACAGTCAACAGGCAACCAGCCATCTTCAGGGCAGCCTACCATCCAGACCCAGACCCAGACCCAGACCCAGTCACAGTCACAGTCACAGCCAGTGCAGGCCCAGTCGAAGGGGCAGCCCACGATGACAACAGTAGGCAGCGCTGCTGTGCTGGTAAGAGCCTCTAAACCTCCCTCTATAAAGTCCTGTCTTAGGAGAAGGCTGTGTTTTCACCTGGCTTTGCTATCCTCCAAAGCTCATGTTGTGGGTAAAGCCACTTTTCTGGTATAGGGATCAGGGCTAGGCACTGCCACCATCTGAGGACATTCCACTTTCTTTCCTGAGAACATACATTTTTATGCTCACATGCTAACACCATAAGCACACAAAATAGCCAAAGTACAGAAATTCAAGTTATGAATTTCTTTTGACGTATATTCTGTTGACAATACACAATTGTTGACATACATGCTTGGTGTGTTCCTTTCCTGTGTTGTTTGTCACACAGACTTTGAAAACACATGTAGGTCACATTTGAAGGGAACAGGGATGATACTTCAAACTGTCAGCTAGACATGAAAATTTTTGTGCATGCATATGACCACACAGAAGTCTACTAGTACATATTTAGGCCATAGGTCAACTTTTGACCTCCGGAGTCGCCCACCTTGCTTTGGGGCCAGGTCTCTTGCTGGGGCTGAGGCTTGCTAATTTGGCTAACCTAGCTAGCTGGCCAATGAGCTCCAGAGATCCTCCTGTCTGCTCCTACCCATTACTGCAATTGCAAGCATGTGCCACCGTGTCTGGTTGTTTTTTTGTTTTTTGTTTTTTTTAATATATGAATGTTGATTCAGTGCAGATCCTTACACTTGCATAGCAAATGCTTTATCAACTGAGCCATCTCTCCAGTCCCTGAAGGCTTTGGTGGGGTTTTGTATGTGGTTGAGCAATATTCTTTATTCACTCAAATGATCCATTTACTGAATACTGTATGATATGGGGACCTTTACAGTGATGCTGATGTCATTATTCCTGCTCAATGCAGTTTGCCTCCTATGGGGACCTGGGGAGTAGAATAGAACACTCTGATAATGGCAGGAAGAAATCAAAGCTGGACAGTGGTTGGTTGGTAGGAAGATTCTTTTTGAGGATGCAGCATTTGACTTGAGGCCTGAACAACAGGAAGGCAGTCATGAGAAGGGTAGAAGCACCAGGTAGAGGCTTAAGTGTTACTGGTGTGAGGGCCGAGGGGCATGGGGTGGGGGGAGGATGGAAGCAGCCCAGGTAGTAAACACAGTGTGATGGTAGCAGACTAAAGGCAGCTGAGGGAATATGCTCAGGAGTTTGCATCTTGCTGGTGTAATATAGCCTTTCTTTGTAGGGTTTGCTCAGGGGAGAGCCTGGCCTTAAGCTTACCTGAGTTTCTGTTTTCAACAGGCAGGAACCATTAAGACATCAGTCACTGGGACAAGTATCCCAACAGGTGAGGAGGATGCAGAGGACTTGAAATAGGAGATTGGTCTTTCTTCACTGGCCTTACCCACATCCTTCTCCGCAGGTACTGTGAGTGGAAATGTGATTGTGAACACGATAGCAGGTGTCCCTGCTGCTACCTTCCAGTCTATTAACAAGCGTCTGGCATCTCCTGTGGCTCCTGGAGCCTTGACTGTGAGTTGTTACCATGCTTAGAGGGCACTCCATGGGATTCTTGGAAAATTGCATGCTTTAATTAGTGTTGCATAGATGAGAAAAGTACTGATTTAGTTTGAATTTCATAAAATAAGCAGCTGATCATTGTAGCAATTTGGGAACCCTTAGGTGTTAGGGGACAGTTTTCTTTTGTATTATTAGAGAAGGATGAATTTTCCCCACAGGACAAGTTTTCAGAGAGGAGGGAGGTGGGATATGAGGACACAATATCCAGTCCCCTTGATTCAAATGCCCTTCACCTGTGCCTCACTATACCAGTGGGAAACAGAGGTAATGTGGTCACCCTTCTAGGGCACTGTGCTGGAGGTGGGCACAGCACCCCATGTGAGCAGCAAGCAGCTTGGCTCCCAGAGTGAAGGGAGCTGAGCAGTAGAGAGAGACATTACCCTCTGTGATAAGGTAGAAACCAGCTGTGGGAAGATGATCCCCCTAGGTGGAAAGGAATTGCCCTCTGAGGCAAACCATGTGATCAGAGGATCTATCTAGTGTTAACCACCTGCTTTTCTTTCATAACTCATGGTCAGAATGAAACAGATTGAGTAGTGAGGACTGATATCCTAACTTCCATGTAATCATACCCAAAGGTAACCTTTCCCCAACAGGAGAAGTGACACTTCATAGCTATAGTGCTCTCAAAGCAGCATGCTTTCCCTCTGGGTTTTACAGAGTACCTTTCCTAGGAGATGTGGTTGCTATGATAATCTAGAGAGGTAGATACATGAGTAAATGGAGTTGGATGGGGTCCAGTATTATATAGATACAGTGCAGGCATTGCACAACACAGGTGCACTTACGTACGTATAAGCAAAACACCCATACACATAAATAAATTTTTTAAAAAATCTTCTAGTGCTGGGTTTGGTGGTGCACACCTTTAACCCCAGCACTCGGGAGGCAGAGGCAGGCAGATCTCTGTGAGTTCAAGGTCTGGTCTATGTAGTGAGCACCAGGCCAGCTGGGGCTACAGAGAGACCCTGTCTTAAAGAGACCTTCCCACCCCCAAAATCATCTAGCACTAGCTAAAGACATTGGTCCTAATAGCCCAAGGATGAAAGAGGAGAACTGGGAAGATGGCTCAGCCGGTAAAGGCACTTGCTACCAAGTAGGACCACCTGAATTCAGTTGCAAGGTAGAAACAGAGAACCAACTCTCAGAGTTTGTCTTCTTCATATATGTGTGCATGCATGCACATACACTAAGTAAAGCTTTTTTTTTTTTTTTTTGGAGGATGATACAGGAATCCATACCTATGTGATGTTGGTGGCAGAAATCTTTAACAGACAAGGAAGAGCAAGACTGGGGCTGGGTATGTAGCTCAGTGGTAGAGTGCTTACCTAGCATGCCCCATGGCCCTGGCTTCCATTCTCAGTTCTACAGGAAAAAAAAAAAAGTTTAAAAATAACCAGGCATGGTAGCATACTCCTTTAAACCAACACTTGGGAGGCAGAGGCCAGCAGATCTCTGTGAGATCAAGGCCATACTGGTCTACATAGTGAGTTCTAGGCCATCTAGGGCTATAGGGAGACCCTGTCTCAAACAAACAAAAACAACAACAAAGACTGCTTTCTGTGGAGCAGCAGCTTGCTGCTTAATGAAGCCCATGGAACATTATTGTAATGAATGAAGAAGATAACTGCCACTCTTGTTTTATGTTTTTTTGAAAATTTCTTAAAGAATGAAACAAGGCTAGGGCTATAGTTCAGAGATAGAGCATGTGCCTGACATGTGGGGTTTAAAACAATGACAAAATAAAGGTATTTTCAAATAAGAATGGAAGAGAATAATTACAGTAGGCCTTAAGTAAAACTGAGTACTTCAGGTAGAGGGAGGCAACTCCCAACCTGAAGGTCTGAGAAGCAAAGGCAAAAGTGACAGTATAGCCTGAGGAGGATACAACTTCATAACAATGGTTACTCTCCATGAGGCTAAACGTGGCAAAATTCATAGTATTAAAAATTTGTGAGTTGGTAAATGTGTTAAAATGTTTTAAAATCTCAAGAATGTAAAATTATGGATTAAATTCAGGTTTTGTAAATACTCAACAATACAATTTTCAGACAAGCCACCAAAGGAATAAAATAATGTGACTTCCAAACATTAATAGGGAAAAGTTGGATGAGAAAAATAATGTTGAAAAGTTTAGAAAGGGGGTAAAAAGAGTCATATATTAGCTGAGTTGAATAGGAAGTGCAGAATAAAATGCCGAGTTTAAATCCACAGACAGAAGGACCATAAGCTAAACTGCCCATGGACTGTCCTAATGAAGGCACTGGACACATTTAAGGACATTTCAAAGAAGGAATGAGAAGGGTTTATTGTAGACTGCCAAGGATGTGGGACCAGGGTCACTCTGGCTTCCTCTATTCTAGAGCACCACATGGCACGTAGGAGGCCAGAATCGTTCCAAGTGACAAGTCAGGAGAAGTTGAGAGGCATGACACCCTGAGCAGTTAGCTGGAGTCACAGGGCACAACTTCTGTGCTGCTTCAGGATAGCAGTATAGTAAGGAGTAGGCTATAGTAGGAACACCCATGGGTTTGTGGGGGTGAGTCAGGAATTTGTCATGTTCCTAAGGATCAAACTGTGGGAAAACGAAACAAGAGGGACATGGTTGGGAATGTTGTCCCCTGAAACAATCTTTTCTGTGGTTTATCTGATTCTCTGTGAAAGCACATTGCTCTGTAGCTCAAGGTGCTTGTTTTTGAATTTATCAGAAACAGTATGTGTGATGCTCTTAGCATCTTAGTTGTCTGGAAGACAACTCCAGAATGTACCTACTCCTTGATTCTGGAGTCTGGGAAATTTTTCCTACCCAGCAAGTGGCATGCTGGTCCAAAAAATGTAATACATTCTTATGTTTGCCTTTGTAGACATCTGGAGGCTCTACTCCTGCCCAGGTGGTCCATACCCAGCAACGAGCAGTTGGCTCCCCAGCCACTGCCACCACTGACCTAGTGTCCATGGCAACAACGCAGGGAGTTCGGGCAGTCACTTCTGTGACAGCCTCAGCTGTGGTCACTACCAACCTGACCCCAGTGCAGACCCCAACCCGGTCTTTAGTGACTCAGGTGTCCCAAGGTAAGGAGACTCACTATTTCTCTGAACTGGCACCTGCTGTTGGAACTCATTAGAGCAGCAGCTAGCATATGTGGTCCTAGAGAGCTTAGGATGGGAAGATCTAATGAACTAACTTCTTCACAGCCACAGGAGTTCAGCTTCCTGGAAAAACCATCACCCCTGCCCAATTTCAGCTCATCAGGCAGCAGCAGCAGCACCAACAGCAGCAGCAGCAACAGCAGCAACAGCAGCAGCAACAGCAGCAACAACAGCAACAGCAGCAGACCTCCCAGGTCCAAGTTCCACAGCTCCAGAGCCAGGCCCAGTCCCCTGCACAGATCAAAGCTGTGGGCAAGCTGGCACCGGTGAGTACATCCAGAGCACCATAGACATACCTAGCCTGTCTGCAATCCAGAACCTATGTTGCAAAAATGTATCTTTGTTTTTAGGTAGGGAATGTACTTTCTTGTATTTAATACAACTTTCCATACTCAAAAAGTCATGCTTCTGAGAAGGGATTCTGGGCTTGGTCATAGCACTAGAGACTATAGTCTCTTGCTGGTAAATGCATCTTCATGCCTGACTCCTGTGCAGTATTTCCACAGCTCATTTTCCGAAGAACTAGGCTTGTGTTCACCATTCAAAGAGGATAGTATGAAAGCCTGACCTCTTCGGTAGCAGCTAGGTCATAGTGTGTTTCTCAAAGTTACTCATTTGAACTGATGTTCCTAGTTTCACCAGTCTGTGTGCCATTTTGCTGGGTTTGTAATGCTGTATCCTTGCCACAAATGAGAATCACAAATATGTGGCATCAAAAGGAACCAGAAAAGCTGATAAAATGTGAACTAGAAGTTGTCTGGTGATTCTCACTGGCTGCTGGGTCTGTTGTAGGGCCTGATTTCGTGAACTTCTGGATCAGAGGCTTGACTCTTTAGAGCTGAGCTGAAACTACCTCCAAGAGACTTGGGAAGGAGCCAGAATGTGTCAGTTGTCCTGTGTTTCTTTTTTAAAAAATATTTTAATTTTTATGTGTATGAGTGTCTTGCCTGCATGTATATAAGTGTACCATGTGTGTGCAGTGCCCCACAGAGGCCAGAAGAGGGTGTCAGATCCCCTGGAACTGGAGTTATAGATGGTTGTCATCCATCACGTGGGTGCTGGGAATTGAACCCAGGGTCCTAGAAGAACAGCAAATGTTCTTAGCCACCGAGCCATCTCTTCAGTCCCTTGTGCTGTGTTTCTTTTGTGACAGTGACAGTGTCAGCTTTCTGTTGGGCCCTCCTGAGTGTGCTTGTGGCCACCTCAGTATGGGTGCCCACCTTGTTCCTTTTGAGAAATGATTAGAGCCATTCATCTCAGATTGGGGATTGGGGGCTGTCTGCCAGCTTTAGTAGCTACTAAATAACTATAAAGCACATGAAATGCCACAGACTATGACATTCCACTTCTTGTTTCAGGGGCTTGGTAGCTACATGAGACTGTGGGTGCTGAATTGGACGGCCTTGTCTAGCATGTTTCTGCCAGTAAATTAAGAGTAATTATGCCCAGGTGTTCTGGGCCCAGCAGAGGCAAATTGGTAGCTCTGACCCCAGGCACCGAGACACTTCTTCAGGGACACATTACAACTTCCATAAGCTCTACTCTCCCTCATTCACCTGGTTTCTTAATCCTTCACCCACCCACCTTCTTCTAATTGAGTTTCAAAGCCATTGACATTTCTGACATGTCCAAGAGATTTGTAACAAGTCTTCATACATTTTCTTTGGAGTAGAAAAATAAAACCTTAAAAAAAAAAAATGCTTTCAGAGCTAATGTATTACTTACTAAGCTTTGTTTTTTTGTTTGTTTTTGAGTTGAGGTCTCATGTAGTCCAGGCAGGCCTTGAATTAGCTATGTAGCTGAGGCTGGCTTTGAATTCCTGATCCTCCTGCCACTTCTTCCTCCCTTGTATTGGGATTGTAGGTTTGAGCCACCATGCTCAGCTTAGTATCTTGATGTCTTGATGTTTTCACTTTATTTTTTTCATCTTACTGAGAAAGGGTCTCCCTGTAGCCCCAGCTGTCCTGGAACTCACTATATTGACCAGGCTGGCCTTGAATTCACAGAGATCCATCTGCCTCTGCCTCCCAAGTGCTGGGATTAAAGGCCTGTGGTACTATGCCTGGCTTCATTTTTTTTTTTTTTTTGGCATAAGGTTTATTACTAAGATATTACTATGAGGAGGTTTAGTTACTAAGTTATTACTGTTAAACTTAATAGTAATTAAGTTTGATGGTTCTGTATATTTAAATTGACTTGAGAGATAAGAACCCAGAATGCTTGCTATGAACTTAGTAATCTGTCAGAGTTGCTGTCCCATTTCCTGGTGAAGTGCTGATTTTCATTAGTGGCCACTTGGTTGTGGGGACATGTTGGGAGCCTGAGGCTCAGCCATTTCTCAAAACTGCTGACAGACCTAAGCTGGTAACTTTCCATTCTGCCCACTCTCCTCCCGCAGGCATGGGATGGAGCCCGCGGCCTTGGCCCACGGCCTTGTCCTCCTTTCCTCCTCCGGCAGGCACGGGATGGATCCCGCGGCCTTGGCCCGCAGCCTTGTTTTCAGTACATCTGGGTCCCTGCTGTCCTGCTGATATGATTATTCCCAGTCTTTACTCCTTTGTTCTCATTCTCTATTTAACCCCATGCTTGTGCTGCAATAAACGAGACTTGATCAGAACCGTGTCTTGTCTCCATTTCTCTTGTCTCTTGCCCCATCCAAATCCCCACTCCCCACTCCAGGTACCCCGCATTGCTGACCCCGCAGGCTGGGGCAGGGACATTAGCTAATGTATACCTGGGTACTTAGCAGAGATGGGGGGTGACATACAGCCAGTTTGTGTGGAGAACATGACTTATTTGTGTTTCAGGAACACATCATCAAGATGCAGAAACAGAAGATGCAGCTGCCACCACAGCCTCCACCACCGCAGGCCCAGCCGGGCCCCCCCCAGCAACCTGTGCAAGTGCAGCCCCCACAGCCCCCACAGCAGCAGCAGCAGAGTCCCCAGCTCACCACAGTCACAGCCCCACGGCCTGGGGCTTTGCTCACAGGCACCACAGTGGCTAACCTCCAAGTGGCCCGACTTGTAAGTTCCATTTTGTTCATTTCTTTTCCAAAAGCATCATCTCTACATTTCAGAAGTTTGGGGTTATTTTTGTTTGCTTTTAATTACTCTGTGTTCATGGTGTGTTTGTGTGTGCGCGTGTTCACCTGTGTATGTGTGCATATGTGCACAGGCCCTAATGTGTGTGTGCAGATCAGCAGATTATAACTTTGTGGAGTTGGTTTTCTCCTTCCACCATTATGTGGGTTCCAGGGATTGAACTCAAGTCACTATGCTTGTGTAGCAAGTACCTTTACCTGTTGAACCATCTTGTGTGATCCCATCTCTGCATTTCAGTTGGACTGTTGTTGCTTACTCAGGAGCATGTTCGATGGTGTGGCAGACTTAGAAGTGAAGTAGGAGCAGTGATCTTTTCTTAACCTGAAAGTTTTAATCCTTGGGGAAGATAAGCTACTGTACGTGTGGCAGATTGTATTAGCAGAACTTAAAGAACCATCAAGGTGTCACCAGGCCTCTCAGGAGCAGTGGAGGGCAAATAATGAGGGGTGGACACAGTGCTCAGGCTGTCTGATGCTTTGCACTGGATGGGTAGAGGTAAGAGTGCCAAGGCCAGTGTGGCTGGAACATAGGACATAGTGCATGTATACTGCAGGCAGATACCTAGACTCCATGGCCAGCTCACAGGTGACCATTTGGCAGCAGGAAGAGCATTTGAGGGTTTGAAGCAAGGAATATAACAAGAAACAAGTGGTGTTTAGAGAGATCCACGCTCCATTCTGCAGCAGTTAGTATAATGTGATCTTCTGTGTCTTAGCAACCTGACTAGAATGCCTCATTGGAGGCTCACCTGACCAGTGTCATCCTAGGAGCTCTGTGTTAGTCTCCTGGTTTGATGCTCAGATCCCCAAGGCAGGGGTTTGTGTTGTATTGCCTTTTACAAGTGAAGAAATTTGGGTGCATAGACTAATAGCAACTAGTTTGAGCTAGGATTAGGGTCCCAGGTGCTCAGACTCAGCTCTTTGTGTAGGTTTTGTGGGAGAGCCCCTTCTACAAAGAGAGGATGTCCAAGCATGAGAAACATGGTTCCAAAAAAAAGCCTGCTGTTCCTATGCCCATAAAACTGCCAGTGAAGAGAGTGGCAAGAGCTCTAGGCAGGAACTAATGACTGGTTTGAGAGACAGTTTTAGTAATTAGTCCACAAATGAATGTATGCATACTACTTTGCACAGTAGTATTGTTTTTTGATTTGGTGGGGTTTTTTTTTTTTTTTGTCTTTTTGAGACAGGGTCTCCCTGTAGCTGCAGCTGGCCTTGAACTCACAAAGTTCGCCTGCCTCTGCCTCCTGAGTGCTGGGATTAAAGGTGTGCACCACCATGCCCAGCCAGCACAGTTGTTGGATCCTAAAGAAATAGTGGGGCTGGTACAAAGCTTTTTTTTTCAGTGATGATAGAGGTTAAATGTCATATGACTAAAATGTTCACTAAAATGAATGGTAGTGATGGACTACCAAGTATATTGTTCTCGTTGCTATGACCAAATACCTAATAAAAGCAACTGAAAGAAAAAAAGGGTTTATTTTAGCCTATACTTTAAGGGTACAGTCTATCATGGCAGGAAAGTTGTGGCAGTTAGAGTGTGAGACAGTTGGTAACATTTGCCTCTGCAGTCAGGAAGTAGACTGAGAGGAATGCTGTACTCATTAGGCTTTATTGCCTCTTTACCCATTTTGTTTATTCTGGGGACTCAGCCCAAATTCATGGTGGGTCATCTCTCCTCAGCTGTCTTTGAACTGCCCTCACAAACATGCTCAGAGACTGTTTCTTAAGCAATTCTAAATTCAATCAAGTTGACAGTCATGATTGACCATAACATCAAGCAACTTGGAAAATAATTGTTGTAAAGGTAAAAGGCTACAAAATACTAGTGACTCATTCTACTACTGCATGTTTGCAGTGATGCCTAAGAAGCTGAATGCCAATTTCAGTATTCATTTGTGATACTCTTGGACTGTGGTAGCTTTTACTTTCTTAGATTTTGTTTTGTTTTTTAGATAATCTCTGTATATACAAAAACGAACCTATTTCCATTTTCCTTTTTATCTTTTTAATTTTATTTATTTATTTATTTATTTTTTTAGTCTTTTACCATCGTTATTATAACCCCACAACAATTGACCTACAATGTAGTTACAATAAATGCCTGAAGAGAAAATAGCAGATGAATGAATGAATGAATGAACGAATGAATATGGTATTGATGAAGAAAACTGGAATTCAGCAAGACAGTGAACTGTGAGGGAAGGAAAAAATGAAGGGCAGTAGAATTAAGTAAAAATCAATGTTATTTTGAGGAGTTTGTGGGCAAAGAGAAAGCCCTGAGAGATAAAATAAGACCTCTTAGCAGTCGAGGATCCAGGACCTGAGTAGGCATTGACCACTGGACCTCATGTATTCCACCATACACGTTAAGTCCCATCCAGTCAAGTGTTTGTACACAGATGTCCTTCAGTGTAAATTCGTCCACCAAAGTCTAGTCAGCCCATCTAGTGATTGTAATGTAAGGTATACTCTCTCATCTAGCATCAATCAGTCTCTAATAGTTCTCAGTCTATGGCTGGCCCACCACCCATTTCTTTTCCTCCCTTTGGGCCTTTGTTTAATTGAGTTGGCATGGGTCCTGTGCTTGATGACACCATTGCCACAAGTTTACATGTGTAAATTTCCAGTGACCTGAAAGCCTCTGCTTCCCTATGTTCATGGACCAGCCCTGGCTCTTAAAATCTTTCTGCTCCCTCCTCTGCAACAGTCCCTGAGCCGTGGGTGGATAAGGTTCAGTATAGGAGTCCCATCCAAGGATACCACTCTACAGTCTCTTATTCTTTAAAACTTAGCCAGTTGTGGCCTTCTGTGTGCATCATACCCTGTATAAGGAAGCTTGAGAGTTGAGGGATGCATTAGTTTTATCTCTACCCCTTGTTCGGCTATGCTCCATGAGCCTTAGGTGTAGAGGTTCAACTGTAGATATGTCATCTGGTACTTGGCATCTCTCAGATGTATATTCTCTGAGCAGTTGTGGAATTCTGCAGTAGCCTCCATCTGTTGCCAAAAAGAGCTGCTTTGATGTGTGGTATACAGTATGCTTGTCTATAAATATAAGGATCCATATTTTCAGCCCTAAACCCTAATAGCCATAACAACTGGAATGGCAAGCTACCTTTGTCGGTGCAGTAGTGGTACTGTTACCTGGATGGCAGTCAACAGCTATCCAACTGGACTCAAAGCCCTCTCAGTGGGAGTGAACTCATGAGTGGCACTGTAAACTCAGCCAAATACACATGGCAGAAGAGACCATAAATCCTAGAGATAACCCTATCTCTTTCATATCTTGAGACAAATGAAACTTCTTACCATTTTCCTTTTTAAAAATACTATTTAGCTAGGCATGGTGGCACATGCCTTTAATCCCCGCCTTTAATTCCTGCAGAGGCAGGCAGATCTCTGTGAGTTCAAGGCCAGCCTGGAGGCCAGCCTGGTCTACGTTGTGAGTTCCAGGCCAGCTGGACCTACAGGGAGACCTTGTCTCCAAAAAGACCAAAATAAATAAATAATAAATAAATAAATAAATATAATAAAAATATAATTTAAGGAGAAAAGTTCTTGGTAGCAATGTAGAAAATATGTAGGAGCAGGTAGCCAGGTTGGTTTTCATTTTCAGATGTTTGGTTAGGATAGTGATCGTTAAGAGAAGGATGGCGGGAGCCAGGGGATGGAGAGCAAGCAGGGCATGATTGGGTGACAGGTGAGGAACAGAGATGTGTGTTATGAACCTTCTGAGCATTAGAATGTTGCAGCAGGGCTGACAAACCCAAAGGTCTTGTGCAAACTATCTGTAGGCATCTTAGTGGGGAAGGGGCCTAGGCTACCCTCGTGATTTAGATTTCTTAACATGTGACTCAGTTTTGTTTTCCTGTACTGTCAGCTGCCCCTTTTCAATTTTGCCCATCTCTGCAAATTTTTTCATTTCTTGACTTCTTGTCAAGAAATGTTTAAAATAACAAAATACCTGAATTTATCTGGATTCTCCTCTTATTTCCACTATTTAGACCCGGGTTCCCACTTCTCAGCTGCAAGCGCAAGGGCAGATGCAAACTCAGACACCCCAGCCTGCTCAGGTGGCCTTGGCGAAGCCTCCAGTGGTGTCTGTCCCAGCAGCTGTCGTCTCCTCGCCAGGGGTGACAACCCTACCCATGAATGTTGCAGGGATCAGCGTGGCAATTGGACAGCCACAGAAAGCAGCAGGTGCCTTCCAGCAGCCCTTTTCCCGTTTCATGCTTTTCCCATATGCCCATTTGGTACAGGGAGCCTTTTCTGGTGGAGGTGTTCATGGCTTGCCCTGTTCTATCCTAATACCTGCTTCACACATGTTGTCCTGGAGTTTAGTGTAAATTCAGGTTTCCAAGTCTTAAGTTTTGACCCTCAGTTTAACAATTTACTTTCTGATGTTTTCATTAACTATCATTTATGAACTAGAAATGCTTGAAGTATATTTAAGACCTGCTTGATTTGCCTTAAGATAGTTTGGTTTACTGGTTTCTGAACAGAGCCTGGTGTGAGCAGGGACACCTTGCCTGGACCCAACTAACTGGCCTGGTGGCTTTTGCAGGGCAGACTGTTGTGGCCCAACCTGTACATGTCCAGCAACTGCTGAAGCTTAAGCAGCAGGCTGTCCAGCAGCAGAAGGCCATCCAGCCACAAGTTGCCCAAGGCCAGTCCACTGTCCAGCAGAAGGTATGGGGACCTTGTATAGGTTTCACTTCAGTGCATCTCTGTGCTTCAGAGGAAGGTGCCGAGTAGATGGCTGCATTGGGTTAAGGGCCTGACGGGGGCATGGGTTTCAGGGTGGAGCTGCTGGTGTGGTCATTATCACTTGTTTTTCTCTTTTTTTGGGGGGGGGGTTCTTTTTGAGACAGGGTCTCCCTGTAGCCCCAGCAGTCCTGGAACTCACTATTGTAGACTAGGCTGGCCTCAAATTCACAGAGATCCGCCTGCCTCTGCCTCCCAAGTGCTGGGATTAAAGGCATGTGTCACCACGCCCGGCTCTTTCCTCTTTTTTTTTGAGATGAATGTGTATGTAACTGATGAAGAGGGGTTGGGCTTAAGCTAGGTGACAGGTACGGCTTTACCAGACTGGAAGGGACCAAAAGGGCTTAGAGTAATCAGGAGCAACTCATCATGTGGAGCCCACTGGGACTCTGGGTCCAGGCCAAGGGACACTACCTGTAGTTAAAAGTGACTTAGTGGCATCACACCTATGGCAGAAAGTAGGGGTGGTACCAGGGGTGGTCCTAACTGGGTTGTCTTGAAGGATGCTGTGAAGGTGCTGGGGTCGAATGGTGAAAGGCCCTTGAGGGCCCATGGTAGCTGCTCAGGGTCTGAGTAGAAGACTTGGTTCTCACCTGGCTCTGATCCTTGGCTGTCTCTTTTCTTTAGCTAACTGCCCAACAGATCGCTGCTCAGGGCCCACAGCAGAAGGTCGCCTATGCTGCCCAGCCAGCCCTTAAAACACAGTTTCTGACCACACCCATCTCCCAGGCCCAGAAACTGGCTGGGACTCAGCAGGTGCAGACTCAGATCCAGGTGAGCAGGGCACTGTGTGCAATTCAGCGCAGATGAAAAGGGCTCTGGAGAAGAAGTGAGCAAACCCTGAGCCCTGCAGGCTAAGGAAGAGCTCCAGCACCCAGCCAGCATGGCTGCACTGTCTATTCTTTTCTGTGAGGCCCCTGGGTAGTAGGCATGAAGCCTCCCTGTGCATTAGGGAGTTTCATGAGTGAGATTTCAGACTCATGCTATTGGTATAGCTTGCTGACTTGACTTTCCTTGTCTCAGTGTGTTTGAGCGTCTCGTGCAGGTGTACAGAGCATTGTTGGCCACTCCATGCATTGAAGATGTCCATGTGTCATGACTGATAGTGGGTCTACCTGGGTTTGAGTGGCTGTCCCACCAATGTTCCACCTGCAGTCTTAGCATCTGAGCTCCCTATTCCCATCTGACCTGTAGGAATGGGAGAAACTTGGCTTCTGTGTTAGCTTGTATTTCAGGTAACTGAGATTCCCTCTTTTCTGGGTTTATTGACCTTCAAGTCTCTTCTGAGATGCCTGTCAAGTTGCTGATTAGTTTTCAAATTCTAGACATTTGCTGTGGTGACTTCTGTGTGTGGCCCTTCTTCCCACTTAATGGTATCTTTAGATGATCTATGGACTGCTCCTATCTCTACCTTTTTGGCTAGAACTTTTTGAGTCTTAAGAAATTCAGCTCAGGGGCTGAAGAGATGGCTCAGTGGTTAAGAGCATTGACTGCTCTTGCTTAGGACCTGGGTTCAATTCCCAGCACCCACATGGCAATTAAAAACTGTCCATAGCTCTAGTTCTAGGGAATCTGATGTCCTCTTCTGACCACCTTGGGCATTACATGATATGGGTGCACTTACATACAGGCAAGCCATATTCATACACATAGAATAAAAATAATAAATTTAAAAAAAGAAAAGAAATCTAGTCCAGGGACTGGGGAGATGGCTCATTGGTTAAAGAGTACATGTGCTTTTGCCAAGGACCCAAGTTCAGTTCCCATCACCCATATGTTGGGTGGCTCAGGACCACCCATAACTCCAGCTCCAGGGGATCTGACACCTTCTTTTGGTCTCTGTGGGCATCTCATGCACATACCTCCGCACATACACATACATAATCAACTCCCCACCCAAAACAAAACTCATTTGTTTCTCCTTTGCTGGGTCTCCCTTGCTTGCTCTGTTCGTTTTCTTGCCCTCTTTGAAGGTTTCTTTTGTTACTCTCCTTTTGCTTCTCTATAGTCTGGAAACCACATGTTCTCTTTGGGAGGGGGTGTCTCCCTGTAGCCCTAACTGGCCTGGAACTCGCTATGTAGACCAGGGTCGCTTCAAATTCACAGAGATCTGCCTTATCCTGCCTTCTGAGCATTGAGATTAAAGATGTGCACCACCATACCTACCTGTGTTTTTCTTCTTAATTCATCTTTGTGTGATATGGTATGATGTATGTGGTAGGGGTGTATGCCATAGCATGTATGTGGAGGTCAAAGGACAAAACAGATGTCAATCCCCAGCCCATTTATGTGGGTTTTGAGGAGCTGAACTCAGGTTCTCATGTTTGCATGGAAAGTGCTTTATTGAGCCATCTCCTCAGCCTGTGTTTTCTGAAAGTACACTGCTATGCTAGAGCATCCTTTGTGTGTCACCCCAAAGTGTGATGATGTCACATGCAGTTAATTCTGTCCCCTTTCATTTTGACATTTCTGTGTGACATTCCTTTTTTCCACTTGAAGTATATCTCTCAAACCTTTCTTTAGTGTTTGAAAATGTCTGTTGCTCCTGAGAGGTTGTTTAATACAGAATTCTAGATTGACATTTATTTCCTTAGCATAGTGGCAGTACCTGCTCCCTGGCGTTCTGCTCTCAGTGGGACCTAGATGTCTCTCTGGCAGCAATGCTTTGTTGCTGATGTATACACACACCTGGGTCCTTTACACACACTGTGTGGTGTCTGCAGGTTCCTTGTGGCACTAGGTAGGGCTTGTTTGTAAGGTTTCCTGGGCTGATTTCTCAGCAGTATGGGAGGTGACCAGCTATTATGCATCTGTATATTCTCTCTGCCCTCTACTCATTCCTGCTCACAAATCTCTATTTTCATTTGTCTCTCTGTTTTGCATTTGGAGTGATGGCTTGCATTCCCACCCTGTTCCTTTGTTTTAGGCCTCAGCCTGACTGAAGTTCTGTACTGATGACCTCTTGTGGTTCTTATATTGAGAAGGCATGTTCTTTGTGACTACACAGTAAACATGGTTCCTTCTGTCTTGACAGCCCTGTTGGTAGCTTTGCTGGTACTGCCTTGGGTACTGTTTCTTTACAGGAGATTTTTCTTGTGAGCCAGCTTGTTTTGAGGTTCTATTTGTGGGAATTCTTTGTGGTGTAGGTGAAGGTGGTTTCTTGCTTCTGATGGCTCCTGGGGGCACCTCAGAATGTGCTCTGGTATGACTTGCGGTGTTTTGGTCTCCAGCAATGTCCTTTTCAGGTCCTTAAATTTGTCTCTTTATAGGGCCAAGGCTTGTGATGAACAATTTACTTTTAGCACTCTTGGGAGAGAAGAGGGGGTGCTTTGAGGTTTTCTTTATGGGAAGAGTTTCTCCCTCGGTGGCAGCTGTGGACTGTGTGTAGCTCTTTTCTTTGCTCCTTACTGAGAATGGGGTCTAGACCTATGCCCCCTCCGCTGTGCCCTGTTGTCATCCCAATGCCCTACATGTCTACTTCTCTGCACCAAGGGTGCCTCTGCTTGCTGCCTGCAGGTCCTGATGCACTGAGCTCTGAAACTGCAGTGTCTTAGTTTCTGTCAGTTTACTGGTACATTTAAAGTATAGTGTTTCCACATGTGTGCCAGTCAAAATCCTGGTCCTCTGTGTTCCTGAAACGCCTGGAGAGAACTGGTATGGTCTTTGCTTCCCATCAGCTCTGCAGGGGCACTTCTTAGTAGCTCAGTGAATCCACATTTTGATTTTTAAATTGAATTTAAACCAGCTTCTGATTTATTTATTTACTTATTTTGGTGCTAGATCAAACTCAGAGTCTCATGGATAATGCATAAACATTAATATTACTAAGTTACATTCCTAGCCCCTAATTTAAAATATAAATACCTGGCATAGTGACTCTAGTGACTCATACCTGTAATCCTAGCAATTAAGCGTCTGAGGCAGAAGTATCACTACAAATTTAATACCAGCCTGGTCTGAGCAGTGACTTCTGGGTCAATGAAGACTACAAAATGAGATTGTGTCTCAAAAAAAGTTAATTTTAGGGGCTAGAGAGATGGCTCAGCGGTTAAGAGCACTGACTGTTCTTGCAGAGGAGCCAGGTTCAATTCCCAGCACCCACATGGTGGCTACGAATGTCCTTAACTCTAGTTCCAGGGGAATCTGAAGCCCTCTTCTGACCTCCGTGGCATTGCAGAACACGGGTGCGCTCACATACATGCAGGCAATACACTCATACACATGAAATAAAATAAAAATTTTTTTTAAAAAGTTAATTTTAAAAATGAATGCCAAGATTTATTTGGAGCCTTTTCATTTAAAATATATCATAAGGCTAGGGATGTAGCTCAGTGGTAAAGTGCTTGCCAAACATGTAAAAGACCCTAAATTTGCTCCCCAACATCACACAATATGTTTTAAAAAATCATATAATTTCACATTTCCTCCCTCCTTTTTTAAAAAAACAAAACAGGTCCTTAGCTGGATGTGGTGGCACATGCCTTTAATCCCAGCACTTGGGAGTTTGAGGCCAGCCTGGTCTACATAGTGAGTTCGAGGCCAGCTGGGGCTACAGGAAGACCCTGTCTCAAAAAGATCAGGAAAAAAAAAAAAACCAACCTTGCCGGGTGTAGTGGCACACACCTTTAATCCCAGCACTTGGGAGGCAGAGGCAGGTGGATCTCTGTGAGTTTGAGGCCGGCCTGGTCTACATAGTGAGTTCCAGGACAACTGGGGCTATTGGGAGACCCTGTCTCAAAAAATACCAAAAACAAAACAAACAGAAAAAAAAAACCAACCTCATTATATAGCCCAGGCTGGCCTCAAATGTAACATTTCTCCTGCCTCAGCCTCCCTAGTGCTGAGATCATGCCAGGCTAAGAGTTCTTAGTATCTCTGTTCTACAATACAATATGAGAACAGATCAAGGGGAAGGCTTCTGGCAGGATCCCTGAGGTCATGGCTTCAAGCAGTAGCCTTCCAGGAGGAGGACCTCTGGGCCATGTCCTGATAGCGTAGATTAGATACAGTTGGCCCAAACCTGCTGAGGACATGAAGACAGCAGGATATCTGTACAACAAAATGTCTGCAAAAAGCGAACACAGAATTTTTTTTTTTTAATTGATAGTAAGCTCTCAATTACAATGAAATAATCAATGAAAGAAATGATGAGATAACCACTGGGCAAGTCTTGGTGGATGTTCAAATGAGAGTGGGTCCTGGGTGTTCTGATCCCAGATCTCCCAGGCCTAATGAACTTGCTTTCTAAGTGTTACCTCTCCGGGATCACTGTCCAGACCTATACCCAGCAGAGCCACCAAAAACTCACGGAATGTATAAACTTGAAATACGAGACCAGAATTGTTTGAGTCATGATAGACTGCCAGTTATAAAGGTGGGTCAGTTGCTCCTCACCAGTAGGTAAGGGTCCTCGCCCTCCCAGGGTCCTGGTGGGCACATTTGAGATTGCTCCTCTGTCTTACCTGACGTTGTTTGGTTTGCTTAAAAAAACTGAGAAGGAAGAAAAAAACTTTGTGCACATATTTTGAATTCTGTTCGACTTTTTTTTGTTTTGTTTTGAAAGGTTGCAAAACTTCCTCAAGTTGTGCAGCAACAAACACCTGTGGCCAGTATCCAGCAGGTTGCATCTGCTTCTCAGCAGGTAGGATGTGGAGAGACATGGCCCAGGCAGCTACAGACTTAATAATAATACTCAGTGTGTTGGAATTGGTGGTTTCCATCCCTTAGAAGCAAGTTAATGATTAGAGAATTCCTTTTCGCTATTAAACATGAGCTTTCCGGGAAGACGACTTCTGTAATAGGGGGAAATTTAAGTGGAGGGCCACTGAGAGGAAGGACCTGGTCTTGTGTCATTTTAGACCTGCTCTTCGAGAGTACCTCAGGCATGTTTCCAGGTAGAGGTGAGCTGGTGGGAGGTAACAACATCCCTTGCTGACCCCAGAGCCCTCTGGCTTCTTAACTGTTATTACATAGGGTGTAGCGTGTGGGCCTGCGGTGTAGTACTCTGTTTAAAGCAATGGCTTAAAGTTTTCACTTGAAGCTACAACTGGCCTGTGAACTTCAAGAAGCCAAATAATGCTGTTAGCCCCAACCCATCGCTTGCTGTTCTTGCAGAGGCCACTGGATGTATATAGTGGTTCTCACTGTTGGAGCGGCAGGCTGATAAGGGCTGTGCTCTGGTGACCTGCGCTCTCACTCTTGGCTCAGGCTTCTCCACAGACGGTGACGCTCACGCAGGCGACGGCAGCAGGGCAGCAGGTGCAGATGATCCCCACAGTGACAGCAACAGCTCAAGTGGTACAGCAGAAGCTCATCCAGCAGCAGGTGGTGACAACAGCTTCTGCCCCACTGCAGACCCCTGGTGGCCCAAGCCCAGCACCGGTTCCAGCTAGCTCCGATAGCCCAAGCCAGCAGCCCAAGCTGCAGATGAGAGTCCCTGCTGTGAGGCTGAAGACACCCACCAAGCCTCCATGCCAATAGGAGGGAAGGCAGGTGGCCACTGTGGCAAGGTGGCCTTGGCACAAAGAATGCTGCAATGTTTCTGGACTCTGGGATCCACTGCATAGGTTGGGCCGCACAAAGTTGCCTGATACTTTCAAAGTGCACTGAGCTGTAAGAAAGAGGTCTATGCTGAATTCTTCACGTGTGTGTGACTAGCTGAAAAAGTGACAGTAGCAGACCTTCCTCAGCTGTTTTCTTCTAGTGCAGTGCACACAGTGATACTGTTTGAAAAGCCATCTAGAATTTCTCTAAGCATGCATTACTTAGCACTTGGCAGTGAGTCCTATAGCAGGCTCCAGCTCAGACTTGGTCTTTGGTACTCGTCTGCTATCGTTCAGAGGAGGAGATGACTGTAGACCATCAGAGACCTGCTTCTCATTCCAAAGCTGCTGCTGTGGTCCACTTCCTCATAATGAGTGAATCATTTTGCCTTTTAGGGGAAATGCTTAGTGTGTATACCCTTCTTACTATGCCAGCAAGTTCTTGGCTAGTATTATGGGCATCAGTAAGTGACTAGATCTTCAAAGAGTGGCCAGTATTATGGGCATCAGTAAGTGACTAGATCTTCAAAGAGTGGCAACCCCTTGCTCCAGTAGGGGTTGGCTTTCATTTAAAGGAAGCTTCTGGTACCGACACCATCTTAGCATATCAAGCTTGTGTTTGGACCCAGTGCACTGGAAATCTCCAGGGACCTTTTGTAATGTTCCTGTTACAGGCTGGCATGAGACCTATGTGCTTTACACAGGTTGTTGGGTTGCATATGTCACAGTGAGTACATGGCAGGTGAGGCAGCTTGGTGGAGTTGGAACCAAGGTCATGGATCCTTTGTTATGTCCTGAATAATAGGTGGTATGCCTATCACGGCTAGCCAGTTGGAGCGCCACTGAGCCATAGTGGCAGGCCTACAGTTGAAGAGGAGGAGGAAGCATAAGGTTCATACCTGTGTTTACTCTTCTCTTTACTACAGCAAGGTCACTTGTGTGGCATTCATGGCCATGACAGGCCAACAGTGGCTCACCTGCCATGTTCACCACAGTGGAAGATCATGACCCACACCAGTGCTGTAGCCTCTTTGTACCTGATTATGGTTTGCCCCAGGAAGTTGGGCTGTGAGGTCTGTGTTGTCAGCATAACAAGACAGGAGCTGTTGTCTGCCGATTCCTCCCTTTCATGTCCATCCTAAAGTGTCTGTCCCACCGTTTGTGGCCTGTGTGGGCAGGAATGTGGCAATACATCCTGAAGCCCACCCAGAGCTCAGTTTTGAGCTCTTAATGTGAAATTTGAGAAAAGTAGCAATTAGGTGTTGAAAAGGTTTAATAGCTCCATTTTCTGAAACATCAACCTGCTCTGTACGTGGTCCGATAAACTCATCATTTCTGTATTGGTGTGTGCCATTGGGGGGGATGGGGGCACTCTCACAACTCCTAGATACCTTGTATCTGGCTCCCAGCAGTCCTGATGGGCAGAACTGAGCTCTGTGGGGCCCCCTTTTGTTAGTGTCTGTCTTTCTGCATCCTTCCCACTGTGGTGGTAGCATATGTCTAGTATGCCCAGGCCATATAGTTGGTAGGGTGGGGAGCAGAGGGTGAAGTCTTTGGAGACGCAGGCAGGGGCTTCATTTTTGGCGGTTATTTTTGTTCACTTTGCAACTAGATAGCTGTTGTGTTTAAAAATGTAAGAAACAAGATTGAAATTGTAAATACTTTGTAAACATAAGCATTTGTACTTGAAGAATAGGATTTAAAGGGCACTGATGTCCTACCAAGCAAAAGGCATAATAAAAATGACCTTTTTACATCTTCTTGTCCTGTCTTTTCTACTTTTCATTTGCAAGGTGAGAAAACAACACAAATGAGTGGTGTTGATGCCAGAGGTTTTCTGCCCATGCACTTCAAGGCTGTCTTCCTTGGTGGGTACTGGGCCTAGCAGCCACTAGCCACTCTGTAAGGCCACACTGGCAGCTTTGCAGCTCCCTGCCACAGGTGCTGTCTCTGCTTTAGGACTTCATGGTGCCAATAGGGCCACATGTCCACAACATACCACCCACCCCACCCCTGGAACACACAAACCCTTGTGCTTTGCTTTAGTGTGTTGATGCCTTTAACAGATGGTTTGGGAATTGTTCCTTTTCTTAATCTTCTCTTGCTTTCAGACTTCCGTTCCTTCTGTTTCAAAAACTTTTTGGGGGTGTCAGGGTCACATTCTGCTGTAATCTAGACTGTCCTCTAATTTGTAGCAGTTCTGCCTCAGCCTCCCCAAGTGCTAAGGTTTATAGGCATGCCCCCACCAATACCTGACAGTGCCTCTTTATGTATCCCAGACTGAGCTTAAACTCTAGGTCTTCCTGCCTTAACCTACCCAAGTGCTGGTGCATTACGGTGGTGTACCACCGTCCTCAGCTTTAAAAGCTTATTTACTGTGGGTGGGGGTGAAATGCATTTTCATGTGGGTATGTACACCTAAAATTTGAATGCACATGTGTGTTTGGGTCAGAGGCCAACTTCAGATCTCTTAGTCACTCTCCATCTAATTTTGGGGGATTGGTTTCTTTACTAAACTTGGAGCTCATGGATTTGGCTAGGTTGGCTGGCCAATGAATTTCAGGGATGTTTCTGTGCCTGTCCCCACACCATGCCCAGTTTTTATGTGAGTGCTGGGGATCCAAACACAGGTCCTTTTGCTTGTTTGGCAGGCACTTTGCCACCTGAAACACCTGCCCCATGTCTATTTTTTTTGAAGCAGGGTCTCCCTGTAGCCCCAGCTGGCCTGGAACTCACTATGTAGACCAGGCTGGCCTTGAACTCAGAGATCCGCCTGCCTCTGCCTCCCAAGTGCTGGGACTACAGGTGTGCACCACCACGCCCGGCTCATGTCTACATTTTTAAAATAAAAATTACATGCATCAGGCAAGGTGAAGAGCTTGTAAGTTTCAGTCTTCCTATTGTGGAAATGGGAGTGCTCAGGTATTTGCCCTGAACATTTCCACTGACATGAACAGGGACCCACTGGCCCAGTGTATATTGGTTATCTGCATGTGCTGGTATAGTCAAGCCATATGATCACAGGCCGTGACTACCCCTTGGGGCCTTTCATCCTCTCCTGTAAGGTGGTGATGAGCAGTTCATGGACACTGTCAGGCACGCAGTGGCTGGTACTTATACTTTGTTCTTTTTGCAGAGCATACTGCTGTCTTTATTTGGCAGCCTGGGGAGCCAGGGCCAAGTGACTGAAGTGACTATCAGACCCTAGGGTAGGGCCTCTGAACCCAGCAGCACACACTTGCCCCTGCCACCTCTTGCTCAGATGTTGGATCTATTACCAGTTCCCAAACTTGCTTCTGTACTATAGCCCTAAAACACCACAGCCTGATTCAGAAAGCAGCCATGTCTCCTGCTCCTGTTGTTCTCTGGGTCCTGATGCCCAGACAACCTATAGTAGACAATCACTGTAGCCTTACCTTGCCTTCTGTAGTCTTAGCCCTCAAACAGTCTTCCTGCCTGCAAAGGGACACTGAATGGGTCCTTCCTTGGCTGGAATGTGCTATTTCCTCAGGCCATTTTACCTATGCAGCCTTCTACAACCTTAAGAAACTGGACATTGATTCATGACTAAGCACTGATAATGAGTTCAAGGCCAGCCTGGCTACATACTGAGAGCCAGTCTTTAAAAACAAAAACAAAATACCCAGAACTGCTGACCACAAAGTGGCACACTTTCCAAGGCTTTCTCAACATGGTTACATGGCTATGTAGACCAATCTATAGCTGCAGATGGAGGTGAGTCTCTCCATTGACAGCAGGGTCTCTTGATTTGTGCTCCCCATGTTGGGCACACTGTGGTACCAGCTGAGGATTTGATGACTGACTAAACAAAATGGCCTTGGTTTCCAACAACACCCAGTATAGTATTCCTGAACATGAGTGGTATTAAGGAAACATGGAAGATGTCAGGTTAGAAATGACAACAGCGTAGAGTCTCGTTTGAGGTTAGGATATGAAACTCTCTTGAATAGGTAAAAATCATTAGATTCCTGACCCTGTGCAGACCCAGGCAAAAGCTTTAATGACTTAGGCCCTCCAGGTGGCAGTTAGGTGTTGGCCTTGTGACAAGGAAGCAGATTTAAGAAGTCATAATTTCTGACAATGCCCATGAAATGGTTGGCCCTCAGGTGCGTTGTGTACTCAGGAGTCAGAGGCAGGAAGATCTCTGTTCAGAAAGCCAACTCCACAGTTCCAGCCAGGGCTGTGGTGAGACTTGTCTTGAAAAAAAAAAATGCTGGCCCCACAAAACCAGGTGCAAGCAGATTCTATGCTACAGAGCTTGTCTGAAAGGTGGTTTTTCTGATTAACAAAAATCTGTTTTGCTATGTATTTCTTACAGATAGCAACATGCTAGCTCTAGTAACCCACTTTTAAGACCAATTTTATCAAAAACCAACTTGTAGCATCACCTGTAGTCATGCTGTGATTTATCAGTGGATGTGTTCACCCAGAAAGGCCCAGGGTTTGGAGAATGGAATGATACTGGCTAATCTGTCAACATAAGAATTTCATTCTCTAGTGAGCAACCCTTCCCCCTATATGTGCACACACATTGAGGGGCTAGGGTACAAGTTCCACAGAATCAGGGCCAGACACCAGCCAGTCTCCAGGTTGCAAGGAAATCACTGTAGGTCAGGAGAACAAACAAGCCTGTTTGTTCTGTGACTATGACAGTGTTAAGACATGGTTTTTGCTGTTTTAAGCAATCAGAACAGTTTGTGTTATGGGACTGGGCACTGGTCAATAACTCTGTGTGGAGCCCAGGAGAAATGAGGTGGCTACAATGGCACCTCCCCTGTAGGGTTATGCTGTTTAGGATGGACCCCTGTATTCACCAACCCTTTTAGTGCTTGTATGGAACTTGTGTTCCCAATTTAAAGCTGTCTTCTGTGGAACATGTCAGATGCTTCTGCTGGTCTTGTACCCACTCTCACAGTGGCTTTACCCATCTTTGTTCTCTAATTTAGGCTCATGTAATATTTCATTAGAAAACAGGCAGCTCTAGTTAAAGCATGTGTTTGAAGACCATTTCTTGAGCCCAATACAAATGAACCGAACATTAACACTGATCCTTGAGTTTTAAAGTCATGCTTTGTTGTTCTTACAGTTATCAAGGTTATTCTAATGTTTACAGAACTGGTCAAGTGTGCATCCACCAACTGTCTGTGTACCCATCCCCTTTAGTATCACCTATTTGGATGAAAAGCCAGCATATGACCTCATTAAGCTCAACCCTAGTAGACAGTATTAGAAAGGAGCTATTGCAAGGGGAAAGAGAATGAAAGCGATGTTATCCTGGGTCTAGGTCAATCAGGAACATTCTGGATGGTCACAGGCAGGGAAAGTCAAGGCAGCACGAACAATATACACATATGTGATACAAGGCATCAGGGATGTCAGGTCCAGTAAAAAAGGAGCCCCCACCCCCAATCCATGTTCCTAGAGCCAGGTGAGGGCCTGATGGCACCTTGCCATGTGTTGCTTTCCTGAGCTAGCTTGGTGTGTCCTGTTAGAGGGGGGTAGCTGTGTGGTACAGGAGCCAACAAAGAAATTTGCATGGATCACAGCAATTATTTTTTCTCAATGAAATCATCTTGTTTTTAAATTTTGTTCAAAAATAGGCCTTTTTAAAAATTTTATTTTTATTTTATGTGTATGTGTGTAATTGCCTACACGTAGGAAAGTGCACCCATGTCATGCAATGCCTGTGGAGGACAGAAGAGACTGTTGGATCCCCTGACTGGAGTTATACGAACAGTTGTTAGCTGCCATGTGGGTCCTGGGATTTGAACCCGGGTCTTCTGCAAGAACAGCCAGTGTTGCCTTTTTAAAAATTTTATTTTTATTTTATGTGTATGTGTGTAATTGCCTACACGTAGGAAAGTGCACCCATGTCATGCAATGCCTGTGGAGGACAGAAGAGACTGTTGGATCCCCTGGAACTGGAGTTACGGACAGCTGTTAGCTGCCATGTGGGTGCTGGGATTCGAACCTGGGTCTTCTGCAAGAACAGTCAGTGAGCCACCTTTCTAGCACCCAACAGGCCTTCTTATATAAACAGAGATAGTGCTAAGTCTCCTTGGTTATGTTCAAGCGAGGACTCACCCATGATCTAAGTTTGCTTTATATTTGGGTGGTACCCAATTATAAAGTACCACCTTGAATGTTAGCAACTGTGGGAATGCCAAGGCCAAACTTCTGGGGCTTAATGACTTGTGTGGGATAAGCTCATTACAGCTTCTCTGCACACCCGATATGATGATGTTAAAAACAGTAAATTTGCCAGGTCTCTGCAACGATGATCATAGTCTTTGGTCACCCACCCGACAGGTACCAATCCACCTGCCCTAGGGCACCCTTCAGTTTCGCTGGAGCTTATTTTCAGAGACCAAGTGGACTCCACAGCAGCACATGCCACAGGCTCTCACATTTCAGGCCTAAGCCACCAACCAGGCTGTCTGGCCCAAGAGGACAATGTGCTTGAGGAGAAGGGCTGTTTCCATTGGTGGCTACTTCAGGAACCACAAAGAACTGTACCTTCTGCTCACATTTCAATATTCAGAATAAAACCAGTGACTCAATTCAGCAGGAGGTTCTCTCCAGTGCCAAAGGTTTCCATCTAAACCACCTTCAACTTTCGTTCTTCCTGTGGAGGAGAGAAAGGAAGGGGCTTAGCAGTACTGCACCCTCACCTGGTGTCTGCAGGCCCCCAGCCCTGAGCCTAGGCGGTAATAGGTACTAGGCTCAGGAGTCTTCTCCATGGCTTAAGAGTACTTCCTGTTTCTTTCTCTTTCCTGAAGTAAATGATAACATCTACTTTAGAGTGCAGGCTGGATTTGCAGAACTCCCATCTGGGCCTAGCAGCCCCTCACCTTTACAGCCTTCTCCAGCTGCAACAAGGCTGCCTCATACTGAGGGACGAGAGGCTGCAGGAGCTCACTGGGGATCTTATGGTGTGCCAGCTGGGGCACCCCAGCTTCTGCCAGCATCTGGAGGAACTTCCTCTCCTAGAAAGAAGGGGTCTCATGGGAAGGAGTCTGGGCCAAAGCATCTCCAGCAGCACAGACCCCCCCTATAGCATCTCTTGAGATCCACATGGCTTTACCTGCACTTTCAAGAGTAGTGTGACTGCCTGTCCAGTTTTTCCAGCTCGGGCTGTTCTTCCAACTCTGAAACCAAACATGGGAGTTTTCTGACTGGCCCCAGCTCTTTGAGACCTAACTGCCACCTAAACCTCTAGGCAAGATGGACCCACATATGACACACAGAGGCTTATAAACCCAAGTCCTTCAGTGGCCACTGCTGACCAGCCCTCACCTGTGTACATAGGTCCTCAGGTACTGGGGGGCATCATAGTTGATCACCAGCTCCACACCCTGCACGTCAATGCCTCGTGCAGTAGCGTCTGTGCTGATAAGGCTGATGAGACAAAGGCTCTGAGACTCAGGTGGCCAGGAACAGTAACACCCACACCTGTGCCCACCTGCTTGAGGAGGAAACTCCAAGCCTCTCTGGGAACCAACATGCCCTGGAACCAGAGAGGCTGGGCAGCATCCCTACTCCACATGGTATAGGTGTTCCCTGTTCTCTACTCACAGCTGGATTTTTCCCTGTTCAAACTGCTTCAAGATCTTCCTCCTCTGGCCAGGCCCGTAGCGGGAGGAGAATTCAGCCACGCTCACACCCCCAAAAGCCTGCACTAGCAGGAAGAGCCTGGGCAGAGAGGGAAGCAGAAGCCAGGTGGTGCCAGGCTTCAGCCTGCACTGGCTGCACCAGCCTTGGTTCAGCTTACCTGTGGGAGTTCTCTCGAGAGTTGGTAAAGCAGAGGGCCCTTGAGAGGTTCATCCCAAGAGCTAGGTGTAAGATGATGAGTGGCTTGGAGCTGAGTCTGCAGGGTACATAGTGGTGCTGCAGAAAATGGACAGTAGGGGCTAGCCAGGAGCCTCTGGACCTGAGCACCACCCTGTCCCATGTCCTACTTGCTCACCGTGAGCCCCACAGGGAAAGTGTATTTCCCTCCTAAATCTCCATCCACTTCGACATCTGTGTCTTTAGGACCTCTGTGTCCTAGCCCTGTGGAGAAAAGCCTTGGCTGGTAGAGGCCAAGCCGCTGGAGCTTTTCAGGGTTCTGAGTCAGGGTAGCTGAGAACAGTAACTTCTGTAGAGGCATCTGGGGATAGCAAGTGCTGGAAAGCAAAGGGCATGTTGGCAGGACAAGCTTCCTTATGCCGCCCTGACTCCTATTACGGGGCTGGCAAGGAGAAATACAAAAGGAGCAGAGCATGTGATCAGTAAGCCTTACTCTTATCAGTAAGGCAGTATACCTGGCAGTGGTCACAGCCTGGGGCTGTATCCTCTGGAACAGAGCACAGGGGCCTGTGGGACCTTCTCTATGGAAGGCTGCTGCCACCACTCGTGGCAGCCAGGACTGGTGCATACTATCTATCATCCGGTCAGCCTCATCAACAACCTGTAGGAATTAGGAGACAGGGCCAGCTGAAGACTTCCTTCCAGGGTCACCTACGTGAGCTAGGAGCTCAGGTAACCAAGAGATGGCCTACCAGGAAGCGGAGTTGCTGGAGGTTAAATCCTGGGGTCTGATCGATGTGATCCACCAGGCGGCCAGGTGTGGCCACCACAATGTCAGCCAAGCAACGGTAACCATCTGCTCTACAAACCAGAGAAACTCCCAGGACCATGTAACAGCAAAGCCTTATATGCACAGCACTGATACCACACCACCCCAAGGACACCAGCTGAGCAGGGAACCTGTTGAACAGCCTACCACCTAGCACACCTACGTCTTCTGGATGAGGTTCTCCTGCTCCTTGGCTAGTGACTTCTGTCCAGTCACTAGGGCAACTCGCAGAGGTGTAGTGTTGGTATAGATGTTGAACACTTTGCTCACCTGCAAAAACAGTCTATCACAGGCCTAGGGTATGCTGGCCCCCATGGCAGCAAAGACTTGGGAGTCTAGTCCAGGTCATCAAGGGGCAGAGCACCAAGTACACCTAGCAGGGCAGCTGAGGCTAGGGATATAACCTTTGGACCAAGGGTGGATGTACCTGCTGGGCCAGCTCCTTGGTGGGCAGTACAACTAAGGCGCGGATATGGCAGACTACTCGATGCAACAGGGCCTGCAAGGACAGAAAAACCATCTGTCACTAGAATCTGCTCCCTGTTATGCCCAAGATGGAAAATGGGAACATTATGCTCACCTGTACCACAGGGATGACAAAGGCCAGTGTCTTTCCGCTACCAGTTGGGGCAGAAACACAGAGGTCGCTGGGCTGGTAGCCACCTCTGCCCACCAGAAACCCGCCAGCTGCACTCTCCAGGAGGGCAGGAATCACAGCTGCCTGGACTGGAATGAAGGAGGGTGAAGGGGTAGGTCAAGTGTATCCCAGGATCAGCCACTTTACCCAGGGGGTTGCCTGGTCAAAGATGTATGGTACCAGGGGTGGATGAGGCCTAAGAGTTCATCAGAAGCCTGAGCCCGAGGATACAAAGGCTCACTGATGTGATGAGCTTCAAGGGCCCCTATGTGTTATCCCTTGCACCAAGGTCCTGGCAGCCCAAAGGAGGCTGCCTCCAGGAGAGCACCCCACCATCTACCCAGGGCTGGAGCACCTGGAAAGTAGGAGGAGATGCCATGTGCCCTCAGTTGCTTCTGCAAATCAGGGTGCACCTCCGGGATGTCTTCAATGGGAATAAGACCCTCAGTGACGCTCTTCCTGACAGGGCTTGGCTCAGCCAGCCACGTTGGCAGGAAAGGCTGGACCTAAAGGAATGAAAGACCAAGAGAGTTCTGCAGTCTTCCAGGCTTGGGAACCAACACAGGTAGGAACTGGGGACTCCAGCAAAAAGAGGTCCAGAAGCCTCTGATAAGTCTTTCCTCAACTCTCAACCACTCTTGCAGCCATCAGACAAGACACTTAGACCAGCCCAGCAAACACACTCCCTCAAGCACGATGAACTCTGCAAGGAGTCCACAATGGCTACCTCCAGCGTCAAGTAGTTACTGCCGAAAACTCTCCGCTTAAGATAGAAGCGCCATAGGCGCGTGGCTCACCTTCGGTGTCTTCCTCCTTGTGAAGCCACCCAGCACCGGACCCGGAGCTGGGGGTCCAGTAGCCTCCTCCGGCGGCCGCCCACCTTGGGCCGCTCGGGTCTCTGTGCGCACGCTGATAGCCTCGGGCGCCGTCTCGCTGCTTTCTGTGCAACACAAGGCGTGTGAGCTGCCTCGAACCCGCAGCCCGAGAGGAAACCCGTCCGCCCCGTCTCCATCTCAGCCTGCCGGCCCACCCTCGTCCGCGTCCCCGTCCTCGGCTTTCCGCCGCTTCGCCCTCCGCGCGTCCAAGCTCTTCGCGAATGAGTCAGTCACTCCGCGCCGCCGCCGGGGCCGCCGCCGGGGCCGCCGCCGCCTGCCCTCCGCTTCCGTGTCCGTCCCGGGGGGCTCAGGTTCCGGTTCCTGCCGCTGCCTCTCTCGGGCCCGGCTCTGCAGCCGCTCGAGCAGGGCGCGCGCCCGGCCGCCAGCCTCAGCCCTCACCTCCTCGATGCCGGCTGCCTCCGGGTCCGAGTACCGCGCGACGTGGAACAGCGCCATGGTAGCCGCACGCTGCTATCCCGCACGGCGCGCCTCGATGACGTTTAAGGGGCGGGACGTCGCTGGCGTTAGTGTAGTTCCGAGCGCGCCAACGGCGCAGGCGCAGACTCCTATTTTTACTTGGGCGCCTCATGGCGTGGGAATCGGGAGCTATGGGTTCGCGGCGGACGCTCTCCAGCTTGCTGCAGGCAGTGTTGGAGAGCCGCGGCCAGGCCAACTCGGTGTTCGACATCCTGGCCGTGTTGCAGGTGGGCCGGGTGGCCGGGCTGGTGTAGGGATGGCAGGCGGGGGTTACTGCGGGTGCCGAACGTCACCCTGTTTGGCGTCCGACCACAGTCCGAGGACCAGGAGGAGACCCAGGAAGCAGTGCGCACCTGCAGCAGACTCTTTGGTACCTTGCTGGAGAGAGGAGACCTATTCGTTGGCTCGTTGCCCTCTGAGGATATGGTGCTAGTAGGTGAGTGTCCTATAGGATGTCCAGTGTTCTCCGCCACGCGGTCCCTGTGGGACGCCTTGCCAACACGGAAGAACACCCCAAGCCCTGGTCCTGTCATAGGCCGTGCAGGTTGGTGGGAGGATTCACCCAGCCCACTATGGCTCAGGAAGCGAGACCTATGTATCTTCCAGGTCTAAATAAACTCAACAAAATTTTTTTTTTCCTCTCTCGTGTGTTTTGTGCTACTTAATTTGGGGCTGTCACTTAAAACGGGCTCTGTGTCCTAATCTTTGGGATATCCAGATTCTGAAGGAAGGGAGTTTCAATGCCTGATTCCTGTTTACAAGGCTCAGAAAATGGCTTTTCCCAACCTTGATCTGGGATCTGTAGCACAGGTTTCTACCTGTAAAGATGAGGGACCATAGGAGAGTGGGGTTGGTTCAGGACCTTGGTCTGGGCCTGGTCTGGCACGCAGGAATATCAGTGTGGGGTGGCCTTCTAACTCTGTCCTTAGGGTCCCAGGAAGCCACACACAAGTACAAAGTATGGATGAGACATCGCTACCACAGCTGTTGTAATTGCTTGGTGGAGCTCCTGACCCACTCCTCCTTCCAGGTCAAGGTGAGTCCTGAGTACTTGGTCCATCTCCTCCCTTCGCTAGGTCCATCTCCTCACTTGTCTAGGAAAGACTTGCCTGTTCTTTCCCATGTGGCTTTTTCATGTCGATGTGACCCTTCTGGGCCTGAAAGCATGGAGTATGTAATTTTAGTTTGGGGCATCATGTTACTTTGTATATTGTGTTGTGATGTTTGCCATGGGCTCCTTTGCAATTGGGTGACAAGGGAGCAGTCAGTTTGCCTCTCCTGCAGACCTAGCCTGTGTGCATTCCCCGGGCCAAGTTTTGACCCTAGTTACCAATAGTATGTCATGCACATGACATGGAGCAAGATAAGGTGGGCTGCCTTTCTCTCATGCCTCTTGGCCCAGGTCTTTTTCCTGGTTGTGAAAGGCACTGAGGCTAGATGAGCTCTGTGGGGCCATCTAGAGGGTGGGAACATTATGGCTACTCTCCTCTGCTTCCCAGGAGCTGGCCCTCAGGACACTTATGAAGTTTGTACAGCTGGAAGGAATGCAGCCCCTGGAAAAGCCCCAGTGGGAAGGCCACTACCTCTTCCCTCGCACACTCTTCAGGGTGAGGGCTTGGAGGGACAGATGGATGGGGGAAATGATGTTCCTGCTTTGCCTTGACCTGAGAGCCAAGCAAGGCTTACTGCTCACTAAGCTGTAGGTGTTTGGGTAGTGGAGAGGGAATGGCAGATAGCCTGGTGGTGTGGTCCTGGGCAGGGCTGTAGCACTCTGCTTGGCCATGCTGGGACCACTCTGTAGGGGAGAGTCTCTCACTCCATCCCTGCCTCCAGGAAGTGGTGGGAGGCCTGCTGTCAATGGAGAACAACCATAGCCTGCTCATCTCCCAGTTCTGTGAGTACCTAGAATATGATGACATCCGCTACCACACAATGCAGGTGGCTGCGAGCACCGTGGCCCGGGTCACCAACCGGCAACCTGAGGTGAGCCGCTGGGTCCTGTCACTGTCTTGTAACCTGGCACCTCAGGGAAGCAAGAGGGCAGCAGCAGCCTCACCAGCTGCTCAGGCCAGTCTTCTGCAGGTGTCCCTCACCTTCTGGAATAATGCCTTTACACTGCTGTGTGCCGTGAACCTGCCCTGCCAAGAGTGTGATCTCACCAACTTCTATGTGAAGCATGCTCGTGAGTGTTGGGCAGGTCGGGACCCAGTGGGTCCTGCCCTGTGGGAGAAGGGCTGCTGAGTAGAATCCAGGTCCATCAGCCTGTCTAGCCACTATCTACCTGCTGAAAGCCAGTCACTCCTTCTTGCTTTCCTTACAGAGCCATCAGACAAGTGGAAGGTTATTCATCTGAAGGTGAGATGCTTCCAGAGACTTGGGGACCTTCCTTGGGCATAGCCTTCTCCTTCCTGGGTAGATTTTTAGGTGATGACATGTACCGCATAATCTCAGGGGATGCTACTTCCAGTGTCACTGTAGCCAGCTTAGATCTCGGTCTCCAAGCCTTCTGTACTTCGTCCCTCCTTGTACTGAGGCTTCTTCACCAGTGAGCCTAAGACTTGGCATCACAGACTGACCTGGGCTCTCAGGGTTGAAAGCCCACAATGGACTAGAAGAGGGCCAGGTGGGTGGATGCTGGTGGCGAGGGGCTGGGTGTGGTGGGAGGCATGTGCAGCCTGGTCCCATTGCAGGAACACAGAAAAGCTTTCCAGGAGATGTGGCTCGGTTTCCTCAAGCATAAGGTGAGTGGAAGTGCCCAGGTCTTGGTGTGGGGAGTAGGGTAAGAGTGGATAGCTCCATGACTATCCACAATCTCTGCAGCTGCCACTCAGCCTCTATAAGAAGGTGCTGGTAACCATGCATGATTCTATCTTGCCCCACCTGGCTCAGCCCACCCTCATGATCGACTTTCTCACTAGTGCCTGTGATGTTGGTGAGTGGGGTTCCCAGCCAGGCTGGTTGGCAAGGGGTAGTGGGCATGGGCCCAGATGTGTCTCCTGATTGTGACAGGCTTGAGCTCATTGACTTGAGGCTGAACTCTACACTTTTCCTCTGGTGGTAGCCCTGTGGGTTGGCTACTTGCAGTTGCTCTGTCCCTCTTTACCAGCTCAGGCTATGTGGGCAAAGTATGTGTGCTAGGTCTGTCCTCCCCTCTGCTTGTGTCTCTGCAGGTGGTGCTGTCAGCCTCCTGGCCTTGAATGGGCTTTTCATCTTGATCCATAAGCATAACCTGTGAGTATCAGATAGGATCACACTGGCCTACTCTTCTGCCAGACCATCTCATCTTCTGTTTCTCCCTCCTCTTAAGGGCTAGAAATTGGGGGAGTCTATGGGGCTCACCTGAGGGAGGGTGAAACAGCAGAAGTGAAAGAAAAGGGTTAGTGAAGCCTGGAGTCCTGTCACCACTGGCTCACCACATGACCTCTGTGGCCCCCTCCCTCAGGGAGTACCCTGACTTCTACCAGAAGCTCTATGGCCTCCTGGATACGTCCATCTTCCATGTCAAGTACCGAGCCCGTTTCTTCCACCTGGCTGACCTCTTCTTGTCCTCTTCGTGAGTGTTGGAAGCACCCAGTTCTGGGGCTGTAGCCCTAATTGGGGAAGAGGTGGAAGGATGTTGTGGCCCTGATATTTCATACTTACTGCCCTAACCAGCCACCTCCCTGCCTACCTGGTGGCTTCCTTTGCCAAGCGCTTGGCCCGCCTGGCCCTAACAGCACCTCCTGAGGCTCTGCTCATGGTTCTGCCCTTCATCTGCAACTTGCTGCGCAGACACCCTGCCTGTCGTGTAATGGTGCACCGCCCGCAGGGCCCTGGTGAGCACAGGAGTAGCTGAAGGGCGGCACACCTGGCAGTGATCCTACCTGGCTCCTGTGGCCCTAGAGGTCAGGTGGCAGGTAGAACCTGAATCTTATCTCCAGAGTTGGATGCTGATCCCTACGACCCAGCAGAAGAGGACCCAGCCAGGAGCCATGCCCTGGAGAGCTGCCTATGGGAGCTAAAGGTGAGGCACCTGCCTGTCCAGATCCTGGAGCTCTACTTGCGTCCCCACTGACAGCACCATGCCCCTTGAGAGGGCTCAGTCCCTGGCAACACCTGCACTGCACTGGCTCAGGGCTCCAAGCTCCATCCCATTAGGGACATCATGTGCTGGTTGCCTCACTGGTATGTCATGAAGTCTGTTGATGTCACTGTGTGCCCCTCCCAGACCCTTCAGCAGCACTACCACCCTGAGGTGTCTAGAGCGGCCAGTATCATCAACCAGGTGCTATCTGCCCCTGAGGTCAGCATTGCACCACTCCTAGAGCTCACTGCATATGAGGTAAGGACTGGGGCATGGGTATGGGGTGCAGGCTACAGGGACCACCAAGTATCAGCCCAGAACCACTCTGTCTCTTGCAGATCTTTGAGGAGGACCTGAAGAAGAAGGGACCTCAGTCAGTGCCACTGGAGTTCATCCCAGCTGAGGGCCTGCTGGGCCGACAGGGCGACCTCTGCGCACAGTTCTTTACACTCAGCTGACTCTGGCTGCCGACCCATCCCTAAGAAGTGTGTGTGTGTGTGTGTGTGTGTGAGAGAGAGAGAGAGACAGAGACAGAGACAGAGACAGAGACAGAGAGAGAAAGATTGAAATTGAGGGGCAGGATCTCACTGTGTAGCCCAGACTGGCCTGGAACTTGCTATTCTGCTTCAGCCTTTCTAATGATGAAGTGTCAGGGGTGCCCACCATGCCTGGATCCGAATAAATTTTTTTTTAAGAGAGTGCAGATCTGGGCAGTTGAGTCCTGGGCAGAGCTGGGGTCTTTGGGCCAGCCTCACAGCCCTGGTGCAGGAAAGGACTGACCTTTAGCCTGGTGAGCAAGGGGCTCTCTGCCCTACTTGCATTGTGTTGAAGAGGTGGGGTGATCCATGTATACATGAATGGTATCTCCATCTGGGCCCTTCAGATGCTTTTTTTGTTCTGAAAGTACGGAGGCCACAGGTACCCAAATGGAGTCATGAGCCTTGGAGGTCTGTTCCCGTCCTCCTTCTCCCTCTGGGCTGCTGAAAAAGAGTAGTGAGCTGGGTTTCTGTCAGGTAAGGGAAACCAAACTTCCATCAAGGACTGTGTCCTCAATTTCTCTTAAGGATGTGGAGCCTGTTTGCCCCTGGGTTTCCTCTTGATGTTGCCCATAGACAAGAGATGCCTGGGAGCCACAGGGATGTAAGCAGATATGCATGCTGTCCCTTTGTCTGCTTCCAGAATGGTAGCCCTGAACTCTGTGTCACTGCTCCACAGTTGGGCTCTTTTGATTCTGAGTGAACTGCTCTGTTGGGCAAAGGTTGGCCAAAGTACCCTACTGTGTGTGACTTACAGAAACTTTGAGGAGTAGAATGATGGTGGGTAGAGTTATCTTCTGCCTGCATGATTTGGGAACACAAGGCTGGCTTCCCTACAGCTACTCTCTCAGTCACATTGTGTTCCTTAGGCCAGACTCGTTCCTGTCCCACATTTTTCTCTCAGGTGTCCCATTATTCAGGCCTCAGTAGTTTGAATGTGGTTTTGGGGCAGGTGGGGACTGGACTGTGCTAGGAGGGTGAGATAGTTTGGATCAACAGTTAGACCCCTGAGCCCCATGGAAAGCCCAGAACTTCCTGAGAACCAAGACTCTGGATGGTGTGGAGTGGAAGGTGCTGGAATAAGCAAGCTGCCTGGGAATGACTTATGTGGGTGGGGTGCTCCTGCCTTTCTGGGAAGCAGCCATCCCATGTTTGGCCACAGCCCCATGTGAGTGCATGGCCAGAGTGTGGCACACACCACATTCATCAGAGAGCCTGGGTGGACCCTAAAGAAGCCTAACATGGTGTTGTAAATCTGTAATAGCACTTGGGAGGCTGAGACAGGAGGATGAGGGGTTGAAGGCCAGTCTGAGGCTGTCTCAAGAAAACAAAAATGGATGAGTGGAAAGGATAGGATAATATGACATGAGATAGGGGCACAGCCATTGGACCAAAGATCCTGTCTGATTTGTTTCCATCAGCCACCTAGGTATGAACTAGGGTGCCATTTTCCATGAGAATGTTTAAAAGCTCAAAATATAAGAGAGCTCTCCTTAGGGTCAGTTTTATTCGAGAGCCCCAGAGGGTACCCACCATCACAGCTATTTCCAGAAGCCAGAGCTGTGAGGTTGCCTGTGAGGAGCAGGGCTTTCAGCATGACAGTTTCCTGCCGTTCCTGCCTTCTTCCCCCAGCACTGAGAGTGCTACCAGGGTGTCAGCATGCCCGCAGTCTACCCACAGACTACCTGCCCAAGGCCCATCCCAGAGTCTGGATCCCTCACTGTGGTATGTTTATCAGAGCTCGGGTCAGCATTTGTGATTGATAGTTACTGACTTTGAGACCCAGTTTCACTGAATAGTTCAGGCTGGCCTGAAACACTATAACCTAGGCCGGCCTGGAACTCTGGCCTCAGCCTCCCAAGTGCTGGAATTACAGGTATGAGCCATCATATCCTGGTACTCTAATAAACTTTTCTTTTTTTCAGTGCTGGTGATGGAACCCAGGGCCTCAGACATGCAAGGCAAGGGCCTCATCCCTGAAACAGTCTTTGCCAGGCATGGTGGTGCACGCCTTTAATCCCAGCACTTGGGAGGCAGAGGCAGAGGCAGGCCTGGTCTACCTAGGGAGTTCCAGGCCAACTGGGGCTATAGGGAGACTTTGTCTCAAAAAAAAGACAATAATTTTTTTAAAGCGTTTTTTAATACAAACGTTCCATGCAATATTTGTGACATACTAAGTTTGAAAAACTACCGTTAAACGTAAAATAGCCGATACATTCATTAATTAGTTTTGGTTCTTTTTGGTGTGTATATAATGTGTGTGCATGTGAAGGCCAAAGGTCATTGTCAGATGACTTTCAAAATCACTTTCCATCTTACTTATTGAGGCAGGGTCTCTCATTGAACCTACAGTTTGGCCAGCCCTGTCAGCAAGCCCTGGAGATCCTTTGTCCTCCCCAGTGCTGGGGTTACAGGTATTTGCCACCATACCTGGCTTTGTTTATTTACATAGGTACTTGAAATCCAAACTCAGGTCCTTATGCTTGAGTGGCAAGCACTTTACCAACTGAGCCATCTCCTCTGCTCCAAGTTTGATTTTTTGAGATGGAGTCTCATGTAGCCCAGGTTGGTCTCAAATTTGCTATGTAACCAAGGATGACCTTGAACTCCTGATCCACCTACTTCTGCCTCTTCAGGTTCTGGGATTACAGGCGTGGGCCGCCATACCCAAATTAACCAGATGTGGTAGTTTGCCTGTGGTCCAACTACAATGGAGGCTGAAGTGGGAAGGTCTCTTAAACCTAGAAACTAGTTAGAGGCCATCTTGGGCAACAGTGAGGCCCAGTCTCAAAAATACATAAGCTGGGTGTGGTGGCTCACACCTATAATCCCAGCACTCGAGAGACTGAAGCAGGATGACCATGAGTTTATGGTCAACTTGGGCTGCAGAGTGATACTCTGTTTTTAAAAAGAAAAATAAATGAAGATCATGAGGTGTGTGATGTGACTTTTAGAAGAGTTAAGGCTGTGAAGGTTTCTCTTGGGTTGATGGAAGAGGGCCTTTACTAAAGGTTTCAGGGGTCTGCCCCTGCCATGTAACCTCGCAACAAGAGGCCCACACTGAGGCCATAACCTTCCCAAGAGAGTTAATTTTTTTTTTCCATTACTTTGACCCAAGTATTCTACTCAGCACAGGCAGGGTGAAGGGCCTCTGCTCTAGGGTCTTAGAGGAATACAAGGGGTTCATGACAGCCCCATGTATTGAACATGTGCCAGTGAGGCTCCCTTTCTGGTGTGCAGCAGTCTTGACTTAGAAATTCATTCCCCCCTTTTCCTCCCTCTCCCCTCTTACTGGGAGATGCATATGCTTTAGACAATTAAGTAATACTCAGAAGTAATAAAGACAGTGCCTGGAGAGAGGTGGGGATGCTGCAGCATCTAATTGGCATTTAGCAATCTGACTGCAGGAAATAAGATGTCAGTGACATGCTTCTGCGATGCCAGCCTGTGCTTGGAACTTTGGCAAGCACCCTAGCTGAGCATGGCTCCCTGCTTGATGGCTGGGGTGCTCCTCTGCCCCTAGTGCTTCCTGAGCCTCATTTCCCCTTCTACGACACCCCCCCAACACACACACCCATCCAGTAGCTGCTGGAGGTCACTTCCTCACCATCCCGTAGGCTGCTCAGAAAAGGCTTGTTCCTGTTGATCCTCAGTTGTTCAGGTGTTGTAACCACAAGGCAGTTTGCTTTGGTGCCTACTAGCACAAACTATATCCACTTAGTCTGCAGCTGGGCCAGCCTGTTGGGGATGGCTGGCTCAGCTCCATTCTCAGTAATCAGGCAGGTCATGACTGGGCTCTCCAGAGGCAGCTACTGGTTGTCTACTGAGACTTGGCACCCAGCCATAGAGGGACGAACTGATGTGGAGACAGAGATGTAGTGACAGCCACAACAGGCCTTGCAAGGGTCAAAGGGGGATGGGGTGGGGCTGGTCACTCCCATGCTATGAGACTTCTGACCAGTTAAGACCTGTTAAGAGGGGACAAAATGGGGTAGAGTGCTGTGTCACTACCATGCTCCTTCATGTGTGTCAGACCTCACCGCGACAGAACAGGGAGAGGGAGCTAAAGGCCCAGGAGGAAAGTTGGGGTGTCTTCTGTGGAAATGGTACCATTCAGTCCCAGGTCAATAGGCTCCAAGTCTGGACATTCAGACTCTGTGGGCCATGTGGTCCTGCTGCATGTGCTCAGCTCTGCCCTGTGATTTAGAGGTCTCCTTGGGTCATAAGAAACTGGTCCTACACCAAGACAGTCCCACTTACAAAGCAGGCGAGTGGACTTGGTTCTAGCTGATGATTGCTACTTGGGCCTGCCCCTTCTCAGGTGGCTGAGGATTGCTACTTGTGCTTGTCCCTCTCAGGTGCCTCTGAAGTCACTGCATCTTCCCATGCCTGACTGCTATCTGCTGTTCTAAGTTGTGATGACAGGGAACACAGCTGACCATTCCTAGACCTGTACTAGGCAGCTTATGGCTACTGACCAGGGTGCACAGTGGTTCCTTAAAACTTACAGGTCTGTGCTTCAGGTTCGCCTTTTAACTGTTTGCCATTTCCCTCATCAGCCACTTGGTTTAAGAGCCTCTTTCCTGGGTGTTCATTTTAGATTTATGTGGGGGTTATGATCCTGCCCTTATTGATACTATTCTTTGTAGCCACAGTCTCAGCCCCACATGAATGGGACTACGAGGCTGGTAGATATCCGGCTTACACCCAGGGCTTTTTTGATTAAACATTCCTCAATTCATGTCACTAACTGTGGCCTCCCTTCTTCACATCTGCCCTTTAATCCTTGGTAGGCCATTGTGGAGGTCCATCCTCCTTGCTGTAGGCATGCACACCTGCAACTCACTTATCTTCCCATGTCTGTTGCTGCTTTATTGATTTCCTTTGTTTTGACTCAGTGTACTAGTGGATGTCACCTTTCCTAGAAGAGTGCTTGAGTGTTCCTTTCTGTTATATTGGAAACAAGAGTCTCAGACCCTGAATGTTAAACAGAGCAAGGTATTGCTAGCAGGAATGATGTCTGGCTGCCAAAGTGAGGTCATCTTCACCCTCATACTCAGCCTACAGGGGCTGGTACAGGTCTTCATGGGCCAGGGGTCAGGTCATTCAGGGCCCTGTTCAGCAGAGGGAGAGTGGGGATTCTCCAAGGCTGTGTGCTTGGCCCTGTCTAGAAGGGTTGACTTTGCTCCTCTGAGTGATGTCTTTATACATGGGCACAAGCCGTAAGGATTTGTGGAGGAAAAGTAACATCCCCCTAGCCTACATTGGCTCAGCAGACTGCTGCAGCAGTCAAGAGACAAACAGATCTAATCATAGGTGCACCTTTTCTTCATGTGGATGGCATCCTAGAGAATCAGGCTTACAAAGTACTCAGAAGTATTAGCTCCAGGCCTGGGTACCATGTTCTTTGAGGTCAAGGTCATGTTTTCTAAGGCTGAGATGGAGGAAGGTAGGTAACTGCACATTAAAGGTGTCTATCCATGGGAGGAGCCACCATGCCTGCCCTTTGCTGAGTGGCTTTAGTGGCGAGCCTGTCTTCCTGGTGTGCAGCAGACACACAGCTACCCGAGGGCACCATCTTTGAATCTGAAGTTTCTCAAAATGGTCCTTATATTGAGGCCCATTTGGGGTGGTGTGACCTTAATGTAGTCAGGGTTTATTGGCTCCTGTAACTGGAACTTTGGGGGTGGCCAGGCATGGTCAGATGAGGAGGGGGCATTTGAAGCCTTGCTTCTAACACTTTCATGGTGACAGAGGTTACAGGGAGCCCAGACTCCACCCTCTCAGTGATATAACATCACAGCAAGAGCTTCCTTCTCAGGTGCTCTATCAACGGCCTGGGATACATTCAGCCAGCACAGGTCTGTCAGACTCTGAGCCCAATAGTGGCAGGACAGGAGGCTTTCAGGATAGCCACAAATTGAGAGTGATCATCTGAATCCTGGGCAGAGCAAGCCTACCTTGCAGCAATCTGCTGTTTAGCTGTTCTAAGTGCCAGACTGTCAAAATAAGCCATCCTCATGAAGATCTGACTCTCCAGACCAACAGAATCCCAAGGGATTTTGTCTGTGCCGCATGTCACCTGCACTGAGTCATTTCTGCTTTCTGAACATTAGATGGCACTCTAAACCCAAGTTTGCCTCGATTGCACTATAGCAGCTGTCCACTGCTCTGTGAGGAACTCCCCTGTAAACTCTATTCAAACTGGACTTGTATGGCTTGTTCTCTGACTGTTGGCACAGGCGTTTCTTTTACATCTCTCCAGGAAAGTTAGGCAACAAGCTGTGCCTCTGGCAACCATAGTCCTTGGTTACCCAACAACAGTCCTTGGTTATTGGCACAGGCGTTTCTTTTACATCTCTCCAGGAAAGTTAGGCAACAAGCTGTGCCTCTGCCAACCATAAGTTCTTGGTTACCCAAGCCCAGCCTCTGCGTGGGGCTCTAGAACTCAGAGGATGTGCTTGATTAACCTGCCATGGTGGACATCACCTTTCCTGAGTGGGTCTGCCCTTTTCTGGGCCTCAGCAAGCCAGGATGGCTGTGTTCTGCCTGTATGCACACTGTGCCCTGAAGTTGTGGGCACCCACCTGCCAAGCTGATGTGTGGAATCCCAGTGTCACAGTTGCCTCAGTGACTTGTCCACATGGGCCAGGCAACAACAGAAGGGATGTTGGTGGTAAGGAGGGAAAGTAAGAGTGGCAATCAGCTTTCTTTGGGCTGGGTGGCAAGCCATAGTGTATAAAGCTGTCTGAAACCATTTCCCAACATAGGAACAAGAAGGTGTCACATAAGGCAACCCCCTCCCCACCTGCTGGAGCCTGTATGCGTTTATGGAATGTGGCTCATTTGTGATGTGTTTGTAGTACATGTATGTACATCCATATGTGGTGTGTGTGTATCTGTGTGTGTATACATCTGTAGTATGCTGCTGCTGCTGCTTTTATGGCCAAAACTGTCCTGTCAGGCAGCACATTAGGAGGAAGTTCCAGTTTAAAAATGTATTTTTTACAGGACTAGAGAGAAGGTGCAGTTGGTAAAATACCTTCCATGCAAGCATGAGTGTAGCTATCAGCTACATGAACTCCACACATGAGGATCTGAGTTTGTATTTCTAGCACTCACATAAACCCCAGGTGTGGTGGTCTGTGTCCAAACCCTAGGGATATAGGGGAGATAGGCAGATTCCCAAAGCTCACTGGCCAGCCAGTCTAGCCAATCAGTGAGCTCCAGGCTTAGTGAGAGACTGTCTCAAAAAATAAGGTAGAGAGCTAGGTGTGGTGGCACATGCCTTTAGTGTTAGCCCTCAGGAGACAGAGGCTGGCAGATTTTTGTGAAATTGAGGCCAGCCTGATACATAGTTCCAGGTCAGCTGGGGCTATATGGAGACCCTGTATCAAAAAAAAAAAAAAAGTGGAGTGTAATTGAGGAAGACACCTGATGTTCTCT